TATATATAATTTTTAAATCATGTAATCCATGTTACTTAATGCACTTAATAGATTTAGAACAAATGAAAAATACTTTATAATAAATCAATTTTTATACAAATAGAAATAACAAATAAAAAAATAAAGTTATTAAGTCAACGATCATACCGCGTTGTAAAGCACCAGTTCTCGTCCGATCACTGAAGTTAAGCAACGTTGGGCACGGTTAGTACTTGGATGGGGGTGACCGCTTGGGAACACCGTGTGTTGTTGACATTTTTTTTACTTTTTTCTTTGTTTTTTTTTTATAAATAACCAACCTAAATTACAATAAAATGATATAGTTTGTACAAATGAAATAAACTCTAGAATAAATCAATTTTTTTAGATGTAAAAATACATATAAAATGAGAGGGCTTTCAAGTCAACGATCATACCGCGTTGTAAAGCACCAGTTCTCGTCCGATCACTGAAGTTAAGCAACGTTGGGCACGGTTAGTACTTGGATGGGTGACCGCTTGGGAACACCGTGTGTTGTTGACATTTTTTTACTTTCTTTTTCATTTTTTTTTTTATAAACAGGCACAATTGCAATTAAATAATGAATATCATTGTATTTAATTTATTAGCCGTCTATACTGGATCTAATCTGCCATTTTCACAATCTTACTTCCTTACAAAGAGAAGTAACTAGAATATAAGAATAGAAGAATTCTATCCTTTATTCCTGTAGTTTTCGTTGCGAATATATGACAGTGTAATGCGAAATATAGTTCTTTTTATTTTATTGTTTATATCTGCACATACAATGTCCATTACTGTGTACGTTATGGTCCTAGAAATGATCTTAGTTATATGGAAGATTTATTATTATTTTTATTATTATTATTATTTTCATTATTATTTTTATTATTATTATTATTATTAAGATCGTAAAAGAATTAGATATTCCATTGTTTTGTTTATTTTTTATTTTTTATTTTTATTATTATTTTTTTAATGATATTATATGATATTTAATATTGTGTATTGTTTGATAATTATTGATACTGAGAATATGGACGATTTATCAATATTAAGATCGTAAAAAAATTAGATATTATATTGCTTTTTTTTTTTTTTTATTCTTTTAGTTCTTCTTTTTTTAATTTTTTTTATTTCTTTTTTTTTTATTTTTTATTTATTTATCTATTTATTTATTTAATAATTGTTGATCTTAGGTATATGGAAGATTTATTATTATTATTATTATTATTATTATTATTATTATTATTATTATTATTATTATTATTAAGATTGTAAAAGAGTTAGATATTCCATTGTTGTGTTTATTTTTTATTTTTTATTTTTATTATTATTTTTTTTAATGGTATTATATGATATTTAATATTGTGTATTGTTTGATAATTATTGATACTGAGAATATGTAAGAAATAATTGAGAATACGATTTATCAATATTAAGATATTTTTTTAGGATTTATAAAATTAGATATTATATTGCTTTTTTTTCTTTTTTTATTCTTTTAGTTCTTCTTTTTTTAATTTTTTGTTTATTTCTTATTTTTTTTATTTTTTATTTATTTATTTATTTATTTCAGTGATATTATATATCGTTTGATTTCATGTATCGTTTGATAATTATTGATATTGAGCATATGGAGGATTTATTAATATTAAGGTTAAAGGTTATCAATATTAAGGTAAAAAGGTTAAATATTATATTGCTCTTTTCTTTATTTATCTCGTTATAATTATATATAAAATAATAAATTATGAATAAAATAATTAATAAGTAATATTATTTTATTTATTTTTATATAATAATAATAATAATAATAATAATAATAATAATAATAATAATAATTATTATTATTATTATTATTATTCCTTCGTTATATTTTGTTTCAGATTATTGGAATCATTAAAGAAGAATGATCATTGATTTAATATATAAATTCGTTGACAAATTCGAAAGTTACTTGTTGATGCAAAAAGAAAAAGGAAAGAAAGAAAAAAAAGGAAAAAAAAATAGAATGAAATGAAAATAAAAGAATGAATGAAAAAAAAAAAAAGAAAATTGTACGTTCGATGGAAACAATTGCAATTTATCGTTTTTATTTATGTTTTTTTCTTTTTTTCTTTTTTTTTTTTTTCAATCTTATTCAATTCAATATCATTTACAAGTGATGCCTAGCGACGATGATCAAGAGGCAATGATCTATATCTGTATTAAAATTAGATACTAAAATCGTTCACGTATTATTGATATATTGTTACACAGGAGAATGTCTAACAAAGAAAGAAAAAAAAAAAGAAAAAAGAGAACAAAAAAAAAAGTAATTGTTTTATCATTTTTTTTATTTATTCATTTATTTATTTATTTTCTTTTTTCTTTCATAAAATTTTCATCATTTGAAAATTTTCCTTATCACTGAAGGAAATGATATAATGATGAATCTCTATTACTTTCCTTTTTTGTTTCTATCTTTTGGTAAAAAAAAATTTCAACAGGAAAAATATCTTTGCGATTGAAGTGATAAAAATTTTTTTTTTTTTTTTTTTTTTTTTTTTTTTTTTTTCCATAAAATTTCATCGGCGAAAAAATATCCTCCTTTATTAACACGATAAATTCCTTTTTTGTTCTTTTCTTTCACAAAATTGTCCATCAAGATCTATCCTTATGTTTATCGTAATTAATATTTTTTTGCATTCTCTTTTTCAGAATACCATCTTTATGCGATCTATGATCTTTATGTATCTATGAGAATAATATTAACAGATTTCTAAATGGGAAGAAAATATTGTTACAAATTTTTGGTATGTTACGTTTATCGATTAAAAAATTGTATTTTACTTGTTGGAAGAAAATTTGTCGTATTATCATTGATCGAATTTCATCGACGTGAGTACGATTTTGAGTAATTTTTGATAATTAAAAAAAAAAAAAAAAGAAGAAGAATTATGAATACAGAATTATTCCATTTAAAAAAATTGTATATCAATTGTATCTATTGGTTTTATAAAAAAAAAAAAAAAAAAAAAGAAAAAAAAAGAACAATTTTTTAGAAGCTTTTTAAGTTTTCAGATGTAAATTTAATTAATATTGATAGCAATTTATTCGTGTAGGACATCTTATTGTCGCAGATGCAAAAGTCATAAATAATTTTTATTAAACATAATTTTTATTAAACATAATATTTTAAACAGTACAAAAGTTGTAGAAAATGTCGTTCGACATTTTATCGAGTTTTGGCATCTTGAAATTTGACAAATTGCATATTCGGACATGTCATGTTAAAAAATATGTCAACTGTGAAGTGTAGTGAAAAATTAAAAACAAAAAAAGATTTGAAAACTGCATTATAAGAAAAAAAAAGGCGTACCTTTTTGTCTTATAAAAAATATTATTATTAGTTTCTGTTTTTTCTTTTTTTCCTTTTTTTTTTTCCATTAAATTTAACAAGTTTGTATTGCAGGTACTGGCAACGTCGATGGCTTATTTTTCAGTCCTACGAACGTTTATGTGAACGGGATATAAAATGAATTTTCAATTATACAATATATATATATATATATATATATATATATATATCCTTTAATATTTTATTTATATTATATTTGTTATGAAGATGTAATAATTATTTAAAATGAAAAAAAAGAAAAAGATAAAATATAGTTTATATCAAGTGAACTGAATTGCAAAATAAAAAAAGAAAAAGTAATTACTTGTTCGATTAATTGATTTTATATTTATATTATAAAATTATATATACATATATATATATATATATATATATATATATATTTTTTTTTATTTTTATTTTTTTTTTTTTATTTTTTTTTCCCTTTTAATTCAATAAGTATATATTTAAAAAATATTTATTATGATATATAGAGTTATTATTATATTATATCAATCATATTAATGTAAATATAATTATATATTTATTATACAATAGTATATTAATAATTAACTCGTATTACATATTAGTATAATTAATTAAAAAAAAAATATTTCACAATTATTCAAATTAATCAAGATTAAAATATCCTCCCTAAACTAATAATTTTTCGACATATACTGTTTAATGTTTTTTTTTTGTTTTTCTTCATAGAGAATTTGACATAATTATATTTAAAACCTATACGAATAAATAGAAAATCTTTGTTACTACGAGAAAGAAAAAAAAAAATAAATGAAACTTCAGATCCATCTATACTGATCGCAAAACTTACAGTAACATAGACCAGTGACTACTATTACTAAAAAAAAAGGAAAAAAAGAAAAAGAAAAAAAAAAAGAAAGAATAATTGTCTAAACGATCACAATACTTACGATACCATAAACCGACTACCATCAGTATTAAAAAAAAAAAAAGAAAAGTAAAAAACTGTCTAAACTCCATGCAAAACTTTCTTTAGGGTCAACCACACGATCATTACTATACCACTGCACATGCTATACTAATGCTCGCACATAATTTTCCTTACAATGCACATGTCTCTTCGAACGATCATTGAATTCTTACATTTAAAACACGTAATCTTCGTTCAATGAACATTTTAGAAAGGACTTTCCATCTATTAAAAAAGAAAAAAAGAAAAAAAAAAAAGACAAAGATAGAAGTTAAACACAAAGTAGGTAAGATAATTGCAATGCAAGGAAACAAAAAAAAAAAAAAGAAAGAAAAAAAAAACAGGGGGAGGAAAAGAAAAGAAGAACGAAACGAAACGGCGAAGAATCAAAAAGAAGTTTCAGAAAGTTTTGAAAATTAAAAAGAAAAAAATATCCGAGGTTATTATAAACCATCACCCACCACCCACGAAACTCTCAAACTCTTATTCGTTCCTACCATTTACCCCCACTCTCCATAACTTACATCCCCCTCCAGCCAACCAATGGCAAAAGCTATACGACCTTTTATTCTCGAATTTATTCTCTAACCATAGAACATCAGTCGATTCGAATTCGATTGATACGTTGTTGTCTCGTACATCCAATAACAAACGTTTATTAACGAAAGAATAATAAAATAAAAATTACGACGAATTCGAAAAAAAAAGGATTGGTTAAGTTCACGATACTCACGTGATCCATATCAGGGATGTATCCAGAGGAACGGGTGATCACTCATTCGTTGTACTAACAAAAATTTTTTTCTGTTAATATTTTCCATGTCTTCGTTACGTTATGCAAGTAGAGTGAGGGGAGGTGTTAGGTCAAAAGTTAACAAGTGATATTTTCAGAGAGAAAAAAAAGAAAAGAACAAGGAAATTGTGAAAAACAAATAAAAATCGTTCACCACGACGTTTAGTGATTTTCGTGGACAATTTATTTTTCTTCTTTATTTTTTTTCTTTTTTTTTCTTTTCATTAAATTATACAAAGAAGAACAACGAAAAATTCGTGAGCTTGTAATTTTAATAATTTGAGTGAGAAGTCTAAAATGCCTCCGAATGCGATTGATTGGTTTTTAAAGTTAATCAGTGTATGTGTGTGATTGTGAATGTATGTGCAGGCAAATGTGTGTATGTGTGTGTGTGTGTATGTGTGTGGGTACCATAGAGCTTTAAAGAGAACAAAATTAGGAAATATTTATGAAGCTCTGTTACAGAGATAATTGTTCAATAAATAAATCATAGGATGCACTCATTTAAAGAAACTTTTCTCGATCGGTGTTTAAAACTTACATAGTTTTTTTTTTTCCTTTATATTTCGTCCTTGCTAGCAATGGTGAATATGTGTTCTAAAATTTAATTCTTTTCGCTCTTTCTTTTCTATTTCTCAGTTTTCTCGTTCTTTTTTCGATCAAGTAAGATTACAGAAAAATACGCGTGGCCGTGTGTGTTTTTGTTTTTCTCAAATTGATTTTGAAAAACGATTTTCTTTTTTTTTTTTTTTTTTGTAAATCATAAAAATCACGAGTCGTTTTTTGCTAAGTGAATCAACGAATGACGTGTTGTTTTTTTCTTCCATCCGTATTTTGAAAAACATAGTTACAATTTTTTATTATTCATATGTTCTAGTAAAGAAAAATAAATTAATGAATTATGCAAATTTTTTATAAGGCGAATCGTAATGAATGACATTTTTTTTTCTGTATTTCTTTCATTTACATTCGAAGATATAAAAATCTTATATTGAAAATTTATACTGAAGGATATATTAAAATTTTTTTACATTTTTTTTTTTTTTTTTTTTTTTTGAAATAATAATGAAAACAAAAATAAAAAGAAGAAAATGAAAAATATGCGAGAAAAATTTAATTAATCATTACACTTCAAGGAAGCAAAATAGTTACTCAATTAGATAATTCAAAGAAAGTAAAAAATGCATTATAAATGGGAAGATATGCAAAAATAATATTTCTATTTCGTAATAATAATTGACTAATTTAAAAAGATCAAAAGGTAACAAAAAAAAATAATGTAATTAAAATTCAATTAATCAATAACTCCTGAGAAAGCTGAACGATTTAATTAACTTAATTAATTGATTAAAAAAAAAAAAAAAAAAAACAAAAACATAAATCAAAAGAAATAAAAGAGAAGGAAAGGATGTAAAAAAAAAAAAAACAGAATAAAAAAAATAAGAAAATCTTCGTTTTAGGAGCTTGACTTTCGCGGTACCAACAAGGTGATAGATTTGAACAAACGTACGTTAAATTGCGCGGGAATTTGGCCAGAAAGGATTCACGAGCCAGTTTTCATTTTTTTCTCTGTTTACTTGGCCGTACATTGTACAATGGGAATCGTCTCGATTACCGATAACATGTCAGACATGGAATATATTATCGGTTGCATAGAAGAAAACATGTTCAATTTTATGACGCTAATGAAGATATGCATATGCAGAATGAAAAGCAATTCGTTGGCCGAATTTTTAAAGGAGATCAAAGTCGATCTTATTCCAGAAAGATACAAAACCGATGAGGAAAAGATCGCCTTTTTAAATTATAACAATTTTAGTATAAAGTTCGTCAAGGTCACTATAGTATCATGCGTAATAGCCGCTACGTTGTATTATCTATCCCTTTTAGCTCCCAACGTTAAAATGGGTAAATTTTTTTTACAATTAATTCGAAATCTTATTGAAATATTGGATTACTTTTTTGTTGTTTTTATTATTTCCTCTTTTTTTATTTATTTAACGTGTATTATTTAATTTTTCTTTTATGCTTAATTCTTTATTTATTTATTTATTTATTCTTTATCATTTCGATCAATAATTTTTGTAAATATTTTTCAACTATTTTCTCTTTTCTTTTTCTTATTTTATTTTTATACATTATTTTCTTTTTATATTGTTTTTATATCTCTTCCATTTAAATGTATATTATTTATAATATAAAATAGTTAATAAAGATATGTAACGTGTATTCGGAATAAAAGTCATAGAAATTTTAATCATGCCAAATAAATTTTAAATATTATTATTGTTTCAAATATTACAATAACAAAAAATATTTAATAATATTATATGTTTCATTAATAATATCTGACTTATATATGCAATTGATTTTAAAATATCTTTTAAAAGAAAACATTGAATATCCTTATGTCTTTAATTAAGAATAAAGATCATAAAATATACAGAAAAAGAAATTATAAATAATACTATTTTGCTGTTAAAAACAATTACAAATAATATTATAAAAAGTTATAATCTTATTATATCGAGGAAAATCCAATATTAATTTCACAGTTATCATTTCTTATTAATTAGAATTAAGAGAAGAAATTTTTTTCAATATTTATCGTTTAGTAAAAAAAAAAGTATAATAAAATGAAAATAAAATCTTTATCTTATAATCATTTTGTTACTTACAGTCGTCGCAAATTCGTCTTATGGATATGTATTGCCATACAAAAGTCGTCCACTGATTGAACCGACTAATCTGACAATTTACGTTTGTCTTTGTCTGTATCAATTTTTAATAGTACTAATTATAATCTTCGGTTACGTCGGAACAGATTGTCTATTAATCAGTTTGGTACTCCACGTCAGCGGTCTTTTTTCTGCACTTTCCTGCAAAGTAAAACACGTTTTGGACAATCCGGAGAATCGTAAGCGTCGAATAAAGAAATTAATATTGAGACACATACGTCTAGTACGGTAATAATAATAAATAATAACAATAACAAAAACAATAATAATATTACCGATAATGATGCTGATGATGATGATAATAATAACAATACTAATAATAATGAATAAAATAAATAAAAGAATGCATTAAAAAAATTTATAAAATAAATATATAGATATATATAAATATAAGCATATATATATATATATATATATATATATATATATATACATATAAATAGATAGATATAATGAAAACAATAAATAGTCTATTAAGTAGAAAAAAATATAAAATAATGGCAATAATTATTAAGAAATCAAAAATTAAAAAATTCATTCAAATAAATTTAAATATATTTATGTTGTATTGTAATTTAACAAAACAATGTATACAACAAAAATAATAAAATTTACATAAAGATTATATATACATATATATGTATATAAATATAAATATAAATATATATATATATATATATATATATATATATATAATATATATTTATATACGTATACATATACTATGTAGAATGTTTCAGATTAGCTGATTCTTTGGAAAGTTATTTCAACATACTGATATTACAACAACTATTGGGAAGTACCATCCATCTTTCTCTGCTTGGTTACGACGGGCTCGTTGTAAATTTAACATCTACATTTTATTACTGCTTATTTTCAGAAAATATTTTTTAGAAAATAATATTAGATTAAATCATTATTATTTACAGTGTATATCAGCTGGAGAGGAAACAAAGTTAATCGCTTTTGTCATAATCGCAGGTTGTGTTTTAAGCACGCTAATGGCTTATTGCTATATCGGAGAGTGTCTTATTAATGAAGTACGTAAATTATCTCATTCGCACGCAATTTTATCATTTTATACTAATACAATGATATCGTTTCACACGTTTTCAAATAAAGAAATACACCCACACACATACACATAAACATAAATTATACATTTTTTATAATTCATTTACATTTATTTCTATTTGTTCATAGCTATTTATTTTTCTCTATTATTTTTTGTATTTTAATTTCATATATATTCATATATTCTTTTTTTTTTTGATACATCATTTATTATATTTATTTATTATTATCTTCTCATTACATTCTTTTGAGATTATTTTTTAGAACAATTTTTTTATATTTAAAAAAACAATGTGTATATATATGTATATATTTGCAAAGATTTATATTACATTATACATACTAAATTCATATAATTTATAAATTATATGTATTGTGTTGCAAAAAAATTTGACATCACATTTGAGAACTTCTAGAATTCATGACTTCAAAAGCATATCTGAAAACAAATTTTTTTCTCCATTTTTTCTCTTTTTATAATTCTGATTGAACTATCATGGTTTTCAGTTCCACCCACTATCTCTTCCCTGACGCAAATAATTGATAATTGTTATTATAGATTAATTAATGTTTAGAAACATATTTTACAGAGTACATCCTTTGGTGAATCATTTTATCAGTGCAAATGGTATAACATATCGCAAGAGGAGATTAAATTAATGCACATTTGTATGATGCGATCGTCAAAACAAATGCAACTGACCGTCGGCAAATTTTTCGCGTTGTCGTTGACTACATTCACAGATGTGAGTAAAAATTAAATTTTTTTTCTTTTTTTCGTTTGTTCTGTCCTTTTTTCACCATAAATATATGTTTATATATTTATATAATCTTTTGAATCATCGCTAATATCCTTTATTCATACGTTCTCATACGTTTTTAGGTTGTGAAGACATCAATGGCGTATTTATCCGTACTTCGAACGTTTATGTAAAAAGAATGTTAACAAAAAATACTAAAGAGGAAAGGTAAAAAAAAAAAACAATAGAGAGCATTAAGCGTTACATTCAAATTGAGAAAAAGAAAAATGAAAAAAAGAAAGGGTATTTTATTAAAGAAATAAAATTGATTAAATAAACGTTGTTACATTTCTTTATTACAAACATTTAATTTAAAAAGAATAAAAGTCTCTGTTACTGATCTAAATGATAGTATTAAAAATATGTTATTTTACCTTTTTTACAATATCGTAATTTCGTGTACTGTGTGTCCGTGGTTGCGGTAAGAAACGAACTGAAGGTTGTAGCGAAAAAAAGAGAAATCGAAAGAACAAAGATAAGAAACAGAGAAAAAATGAGAAGGAAGGGAATACAAAAATCATTTTATTATTTAAATTATATTAATTATTATTAAATTATATTATTACAAAAATGTGAATGACAACGTCGTGAAATCCTTTTGGAGAAATAAAATTAAATAAAATAAGATAAATTTTAACATTATGCAAACATTTGTCTAATAGGTCCAGATCACGTGGGCTTATTTATGAAATAATGTCTGAGACACATTTTTCCTCTTTCTCTCTCTCTCTCTCTCTCTCTCTCTCTCTTTCTCTCTCTCTCTCGCCCTCCCGGTCCATAGATCTTGAAGAGTATATACGTCCTTAAAAGAGTCTAAGAGTTACTATAAAAGAAAAAAAGAGAAAAAGCAACAAAAATTTCAGAAATGTCTAAACTGATCGCAAAACTTATCCCGTAACATAACACGTGGGACAATATTATTAAAAAAATAAAATAGAATAAAAAAAAAATTGCGAAATCGTTTAAATTAATAACAATACTTACCGCAGCATCAATTGATATTGTGCAGTATTATATAAAAATATTTCAAAATTGTCTAATTTTTCATTAAACCTTCGATGAAACACGATTGTATACGAAAAAAAAAAAAGAAAAAAAGAAAATAGAAATGTCTTAAAATCGTCTGTACTGTTCACACTACATATCGTAATATAAATTGGCGATCACGATTATAAAAAAAAAAAAAATTCAGAATCCTCTAAATGGATCGTGAAATTTACCATACCGATCTACATTTCATAACAAAACGAAAATGAAAATACAAAACAGTTTAAACTAAACGCAAAACTTTCCTTACCGTGAACCTTAAACTACACTGTTTTACCATATCATTGCACACGCTATACTAATGCACGCACATACTTTTCCCTATAATGCATATGCCTCTTCGAAGGATCATTAAATTCTTACTTTTAAAACACGTCTCTTCGTTCTGTAAACGTTCAAAAGAGGACGTTCCATCTATTAAAAAAGAAAAAGAAGACACATGCCGTAGTTAGATACAATGTAGGTAAGATAATTGCAATGCGAGGAAACAAAAAAAAAAAAAAGGGGGAAAAGAAAAGAAGAAAGAAACGAAACGGCGAAGAATCAAAAAGAAGTTTCGGAAAGTTTCGAAAATTAAAAAGAAAAAACTATCCGTGGTTATTACATGTCATTACTCACCACCCACAGAACTATCAAACTCTCATTCGTTGCTGCCTTTTACCCCCACTCACCGTAACTTACATCCCCCTCCATCCAACAAATGCAAAAGCTACACGACCTTTCATTCTCGAATTTATTCTCTAACCTTCGAGCATTAGTCGACTCGAATTCGATTGATACGTTGTTGTCACGTATATTCAATCACAATCGTTCATTAACAAAAGAATAAATAAAGAAAAATTACGGCGAATTCCAGAAGAAAGGATTTGTTAAGTTCACGATACTCACGTGATCCACATCAGTGATGTATCCAGAGGAAGGAGTGATCACTCATTCGTTATCCTAACAAAAATTTTTTCTGTTAATATTTTCATGTCTTCGTCACGTTATGCGTGTGTGTCGAGGGAGGTGTTAGATCAAATGTTAACAAGTGATTTTTTGCGAGAGAAAAAAAGAAAGAACGAAGAAATTGCGAAAACAAATAAAAATCGTTCAGCACAACGTTTAGTGATTTTCGTGGATAATTTTTTTTCATCTTATCAAATTATATATAAGAAGAATGGCGAAAAATTCATAGAAAAAAGTTTCCTGTCGTATCGTAAAAAGTTCTAATCATTCGTGTGAGAAATGTTCATCTGAAGTGCATTAATATGCAATTATTCGATTTTGAAAATCAATCAGTTTGTGTATGATAGTGAATGTGTCTCTACTCACGTCTATATGTGCCTACCATAAAGCTATAAAGAGAAACAAATTACGAAATATATATGAAGCTCTATTACAGAGATAATTGTTAAATAAATAAATCATGTGGTGCACTCATTTAAAGAAACTTTTCTTCGATCAATGTTTAGAATTTACATTGTTTTTTTCTTATATATGTCGTCCTTGTTAGCCATGGTGAATATGTGCTTTTGAATTTATTTTTTTTCGCCCTTTTTTTTCTGTTTCTCAGTTTTCTTGTTCTTTTTACGATCAAGTAAGATTACAAAAAGATACGTGTGGCCGTGCATACGCATGTGCGTTTTTGTTTTTGTCAAATTGATTATAAAAAATAATTTTCTTTTTTAAGTAAATTATAAAAAATTTCGAATTGTTTTTTCCTAAGTGAATCAACGAACCACGTGTTGTTTCTTTCTTTCATCCGCATTTTGAAAAATATATTTTCAATTTTTTACTATCCATATGTTATGGTAAAGAAAAATAATTTAATGAATTATGAAAATTTTGTATAAGGCGAATCGTAATGAATGACAGGTTTTTCTGTATTTCTTTCATTTACATTAAAAGACATAAATATCTTATATTGAAGATTTATATTGAAAGATATATTAAAATTTTCTTAATTTTTTTTTTGTTGTATAAAATAGTAATGAAAACAAAAAAAAGTAAAGAAAAATATTCAAAAAAAATTGAATTAAACATTAGACTTCAAGGAAGCAAAATAGTTAGTTAATTAGATAATTGAAAATAATAAAAAATGTAAAATAGATGGAAAGATATATAAAAACAAAATGTTGATTTTGTGGTAATTGACTAATTTAAAAAGACCAAAACGAAACAAAAAATATAGTGCAATAAAAATAAAATATGATAGAAATAAAAATAAATTGAAATAAAAATTCAATTTATCAATAACTCTCGAGAAAGTTAAACGATTTAATTAATTTAAATAATTGATTAAAAGAAAGAAAAACTAGAAACAAAAAAATAATTAAAAAGAAATAAAGGATGATAAAGGAAAAGAAAATGAATAAAAGAAATAAGAATATCTTCATTTTAGGAGCTCGACTTTCACGGTACTAGAAGGCTAATAGATTTGAACAAACGTACGTTAAATTGCGCGGGAATTTGGCCAGAAAAGATTCACGAGCCGGTTTTCATTTTTTTCTCTGTTTACTTGGCCTTACATTGTACAATGGGTGTCATCTCGATTACCAATAACATATCGAATTTGGAATATGTTCTTGCTTGCTTTGAAGAAAACTTGTTCCATTTTATGACGCTATTGAAAATATGCATATGCAGAATTAATAGCAATTCGTTGGCCGAAATTATAAAGGAAATTAAAGTCGATTTTATTCCAGAAAGATACAAAACCGATGAGGAAAAGATTGCTTTTTTGAATTATAACAATTTTAGTTTAATGGTCGTCAGGGTCACTTTAGGAACAAGCTCCACAGCTGCTGTCCTGTATTTTTTGTCCTTTTTAACTGTCAACATTGAAATGGGTAAATTTTTTTATAATTAAATTTAAATCATATAGAACTGATGGATTTTTTTTGTTTTTCTCTTTTTCAATTATTTATTTTACTTCGTATAATAATATTTTTCTTTTTCATTCGACTACTTATATATTTATTTATTTTTTATCATTTCGATCAGTAATTTTTGTAAATGTTCTTCAACTGTTTTCCTTTTCTTTTTATTTATCATCTTTTTTTATTTGAGAATAATTTTTATTGTAACGATCGTCGACTTTTATTGTTTGAATTTTTTGTGAAAATATTTTTAATATTTTAATTTATTTCAATTATATATAATTGTATAATTTTTTATTTCACTTTATTACAGTATTATAATTTTGTAAATTTAAAATACTTTATTTTAACGTATATTGAAATATATTTTTGTTGATTTTTCTTGTTTCTAATTGTTTTTCTTCTTATTTATATCTTTTACATTAAATATATATTATCTGAACAGAGGATAGTTAGTATAATTATATATCTGGTGTCCGAAATAGAAAACTTTGAAATTTTAATCACATAAAATAAATTTCTAATATTATTTATATTTCATATATTAAAAAAAAAAAATTAATCTTATTCTATGTTTTAAAAATATTTTTTATAGAAAAATATTGAATATCCTTATATTTTTCCTTAAGAATGATATTCATTAAGTACATAGAAAAAACTGAAATTATTTTTTTTTTTTGTTAAAATCAATTACAAATAATATTATAAGAAATGATAATATTGTATCGAGAAAAATCTAAAATTGATCTTATAGATATCATCTCTTATTAGTTAATATAGAGAATATAAATTATTTCTATAGTTATCTTTAATTAAAAAAAAATAAAAGTTTCTAATAAAATAAAATGTTTCTTTTAGAATTGTTTTGTTACTTACAGTCGTTGCAAATTCATCTTACGGATACGTATTGCCATACAAAAGTCGTCCGCTGATTGAACCGACTAATCTGACAATCTACATCTGTCTTTGTCTCTATCAATTTTTAATAGTACTAACTATAATCTTCGGTTACATCGGAAGTGATTGTCTATTTATCAATTTGGTACTCCACGTCAGCGGTGTTTTCTCTGCACTTTCCTGCAAAGTAAAACACGTTTTGAACAATCCTGAGAATCGTAAACGTCGAATAAAGAAATTAATATTGAGACACATACGTCTAGTACGGTAATAATAATAAATAATAACAACAACAAATATATTAATATTACCAATAATGATGCTGATGATGATGATAATAATAATAATAATAATAATAATGAATAAAATAAATAAAAGAATGTATTAATGAAATTTATAAATTCAATCTATGCATATATATAAATATATATATATATATATATATATATATATATATATATATATATATATGTAATATATATTAATTTATGTATACATATACTATGTAGAATGTTTCAGATTAGCTGATTCTTTGGAAAGTAATTTCAACGTATTAATTTTACAAGAATTAATGGGAATTACCCTTCATCTTTCTCTTCTTGGTTATGACACGCTCGTTGTAAATTTAACATATACATTTCGTTATTGCTTATTTCTAGAAGATATTTTTTAGAAAATATTAGATTAAATTATTGTTATTTCCAGTGTATAGCGGCAGGAGAGCAAAAAAAGTTAATCACTTTTTTCATAGTTGCATGTCGTGTTTTAAGCACGCTATTACTTTATTGCTATATCGGAGAGTGTCTTATTAATGAAGTACGTAAATTATCTCATTCGCACGCAATTATATTATTTTATGCTACTGATACAATGATATCGTTTCACACACTTTCAAATAAAGGATACATTCACATAAATATTAATTACTTACTTTTTATAATTCATTTACATTTATTTCTATTTGTTTATAGTTATTTATTTTTCTCTATTATTTTTTATATTTTAATTTCATATATAATATTTTCATATATATTTTTTTTTGATACATTATTTATTATATTTATTTATTATTATCTTCTAATTACATTCTTTTGATATTATTTTTTTAGAAGAATTTTTTTATATTTAAAAATCAGTGTGTATATATATGTATATATTCGCACGGTATTATATTACATTATACATATTAAATTCATATAATTTATAAATTATATGTATTGTGTTGCAAAAATTTGACATCACATTTCAGAAATTCAGAAATTCATAACATCATGAGCATATCTGGAAACAAAATTTTTCTTCTTTTTTTTTTTTCTTTTTATAATTCTGATTGACCTGTCATGGTTTTCAGTTCCATTCCTCACCCCTTTCGCTGTCGCAAACAATTGATAATTTTTATTACAGATTAACAAATGTTTAAAAACATATTTTACAGAGTACATCCTTTGGTGAATCATTTTATCAGTGCAAATGGTACAACATATCGCAAGAGGAGATTAAATTAATACACATTTGTATGATGCGATCGTCAAAACAAATGGAACTGACAGTCGGCAAATTCTTCGTGCTGTCCTTGACTACATTCACAGATGTGAGTAAAATTAAATTTTTTTTCTTTTTTTCGTTTTTTCTGTCCTTTTTTCACCATAAATATATATATATATTTATATGATCTTCTAAATCATCATTAATATAATTTATTCATACGTTCTCATACGTTTTTAGGTTGTGAAGACATCAATGGCGTACTTATCCGTACTTCGAACGTTTATGTAAAAAGAATGTTAACAAAAAATACTAAAGAGGAAAGGTAAAAAAAAAAAAATAATAGAGAGCATTAAGTGTTACATTCAAATTGAAAAAATGAAAAATGAAAAATAGAAAGGGTATCTTATCAAAGAAATAAAATTGATTAAATAATCGATGTTACGTTTCCTTATTTCAAACATTTAATTTAAGAAGAAATAGCACACTGTTATTGATCTAAATGATAATATTAAAAATATTTTATTTTTCCTTTGTTTACAATCTCGTTATTTCGACCGTGCGTCCGTGCTTGCGATAAAAATCGAACTGAACGTCGTAGCAGAAAAAAGAATAATGAGAAGAGCACAGATAACATAAAGAGAAAAAATGAAAAGGAAGGAAATTCAAAATTAATTTTATTATTTAAATTATATTAATTATTAGTAAATTATATTATTATAAAAATGTGAATGAGAACGTTGTGAAATTCTTCTGGAGAAAAAAAATTAAATAAAATATTGTAAGTTTTAACATTATCTATGGAGATATCGGTCAAAGATCGTTTTGTTTTCTATTTCCTTTTTTTTTAATGTAAATAATCGAAGAAGTAATGAAGACACAAGAGGATAACATATATCTCCATTCCTTCTAATTTGTTGCCTTCTTTTTTATTTTCCATTAATTATTGTATTTTTTTTGTTTAATTTTTTTCAGATCAAACCATTCGAAATCGTGGACGTTTTTTTACTTCACGAGAGATACATTGCGATCGGAGGTGTATGGCCATTGAGAAAAACTTACGTTCGATTTCTTTGTTTATACATCTTTCAGAATACTCAAATGCATAAAGTGAACATTCATTGTTTATTAATTATTATATCTTGTTAGAAGCTGTATCCATATAGAACCTGTATTCATTATACCTGTTTTACATATGTTACTGATCATAGTCATCACGAAATAATTGCTGAGACACATTTAACCTCTCTCTCTCTTTCTCTCAATCTCGCTCTCCCTGTCTGTAGATCTTGAAGAGTACATACGTCCTTTAAGAGTCTAATAGTTACTATAAAGAAGAAAGAGAAAAAAGAGAAGAGAAATTTCAAAAATGTCTTAACTGATCGCAAAACTTATCTCATAACATAACACGGGGGACAGCATTATTAAAAAAATAAAATAGAATAAAAATAGAATAAAAAGAAAATTGCGAAATCGTTTAAATTAATAATAATACTTACAGTAGCATGAATCGGTAATGTCCAGTATTATATAAAAACTTTTCAAAATTTTCTAATCTTTAATTACACTTTCGATGAAACACTATTATATACAAAAAAAAAAAGAAATGGAAATACCTTAAAATCGTCTGAAGTGTCCAGAAAATTTTGTCGTGACATAAATTAGAGATTACGATTATAGAAAAAAAATTCAGTATTCTCTAAATGAACCGTAAAATTTACCATAGCGATCTACATTAGAAAACAAAACGTAAATGAAAATATAAAATAGTGTAAACTAAACACAAAACTTTCCTTAGCGTGAACCGTCAAAAACACTGCTTTACCATTTCATTGCACACGCTATACTAATCCTTGCACATATTTTTTCCCAGAATGCATATGCCTCTTCGAACGATCATTAAATTCTTACTTTTAAAAAACGTTTCTCCGTACGGTAAACGTTCGAAAGAGGACGTTAAACCCATTAAAAAAGAAAAGAAAGACAGGCCGAAGTTAGACACAGTGTAGGTAAGATAATTGCAATGCAAGGAAACAAAAAAAAGGGAAAAGAAAAGCAGAGCGAAACGAAACGACGAAGAATCAGAAAGAAGTTTCGGAAAGTTTCGAAAATTAAAAAGAAAAAAATATCCGAGGTTATTATAAAAAATTATCCATCACCCACGAAACTCTCAAACTCTCATTCGTTGCTGCCTTTTGCCCCCACTCTCCATAACTTACATCCCCCTCCGTTCAACAAATGCAAAAGCTACACGACCTTTCATTCTCGAAATTATTCTCTAACCTTCGAGCATTAGTCGACTCGAATTCGATTGATACGTTGTTGTCACGTATATTCAATCACAATCGCAATATATATATATGTATATATTTGCACAGATCTATATTACATTATACATACTAAATTCTTATAATTTATAAATTATGTGTACTGTGATGCAAAAAATTTGACATCTCATATGAGTATTTCTGGAATTCGTAACTACCGGAGCATACCTGAAAGCAAATTTTTTTCTCCTTTTTTTCTCTTCTTATATTTCTTATTGAACTGTCATGGTTTCCAGTTTCATCCACTATCCCTTCTTTGACGCAAATAATTTATAATTGTTATTACAGATTAATAAATGTTTAAAAACATATTTTACAGAGTACATCCTTTGGTGAATCATTTTATCACTGCAAATGGTACAACATATCGCAAGAGGAGATTAAATTAATGCACATTTGTATGGTGCGATCGTCAAAGCAAATGCAACTGACCGTAGGCAAATTTTTCGTGTTGTCGTTGACTACATTCACAGATGTGAGTAAAAATTAAATTTCTTTTCTTTTCTTCGTTTTTTCTGTTCTTTTTTCACCATAAATATATATATATATATATTTATATAATCTTCTGAATCATCATTAAAATCCTTTATTCATATGTTCACATAAGTTTTTAGGTTGTGAAGACATCAATGGCATACTTATCCGTACTTCGAACGTTTATGTAAAAAGAACAATAACAGCAGAATACTAAAGAGGAAAGGTAAAAAAAAAACAATAGAGTACTGTAAGTGTTACATTTAAGTTAAAAAATAATTATAAATAGAAAGGGCATCTTATCAAAAAAATAAAATTGATTAAATAATCGACGTTACGTTTCTTTATTTCCAACACTTAATTTAAGAAGAAAAAGTTCTCTTTTATTGGTCTAAATGGTAATATTAAAAATATTTTATTTTTCCGCGTTTACCATCTCGTTATTTCAACTGTGTGTCCGTGCTTGCGATAAAAAACGAACTGAACGTCGTAGCGAAGGAAAGAAAAACCAAAAGAACACAGATAAGAAAAAGAGAAAAAATGAGAAGGAAGAAAATACAAAAATAATTTTATTATTTCAATTATATTATTTATTATTAAATTATATTATTATAAAAATGTGAATGGCATCGTCGTGAAATCCTTCTGGAGCAAAAAATTTAAATAAAATATGATAAATTTGAACATTATCTATGGAGATATCGGTCGAAGATCATTTTCTTTTCTGTTTCCTTTTTTGTAATGTAACAAGTCGAAGAAGTATTGAAGACTCAAGAGGATAACATATATCGCTCTTCCTTTTAATCTGTTGCCTTCTTTTATTTTCAATTTTTTCATGTTTTTTCTTTTTTTGTTTGATTACTTTCACTTCAAACCATTCGAGATCGTGAACCTTTTTCTACTTCACGAGAGATACTTCGCGATCGCTAGTGTATGGCCATTGAGAAATAGTTACGATTAATATGCAATATATGCCGTTTATTGCTCGATACAAATCACATTGAGAAATATCGATTTGTACGATATAATAAACGACCTTTATCTCATGTTACAGAATCTTTATGTAAACTTTAGTGGCATGTGTGTCGTTGTTAAAGTTAAGAATTATTCGACATCATCCGATTATGGTAACTTTGATCATCACTATCAAGATCGAAATTGTCAATGACCAAAGATACTTCGAAAACAATGAGAAATGTTCAGTCAATTATCGTTACAATCACACATAGGACACATTGTCGAAAATCGCATCGACAACTTCAATATAACGACGATGTAAACTATTGCCAAATCTTTATGCTTTACTACATTCTATGGATATATATATATTTCTTTTTTTCAAATTTATATACGCACAATTATAAAAATATTTAATTTTTTGTATTATAATGTAATTCTTAAATATATATATATATATGTATAATATTTAAAAATTATTATATTTTTAATATTAGTGTATTTAAATTTTTTAAAATAAAATTGTCATCATTACTTCCATATATATATATGGAAAAAAAGACAAAAGAAATATCATTCATATAAAGAGAACTGAACTGAAAAATAAAACAAGAAAAATGAATAACTTATCGGATTAATTGAGTTTACATTGAAATTGTAAAATTATTAGATATATTTAAATTTGTGTGCTAATTTTAGTTCTTGCAATTTCAGATTATGCGCTTCCATTCCGGGGTATCGTACCGAATCCATCGATTTCTATGTCCATAGATCTTTCAGAATACTCAATTGCTTAAAGTGAACCATCAATGATAATTATTTATTAAATATTATACCTTGTTAAAAGCTGTATCCGTGTAGAACCTGTATTCATTATACCTGTTTTACATGTGTTACCAATCCTAGTGCTAGTAAATGTGTTACTATACGCAAACATTTGTCCAATAGTTAATGGGTCCAGATCACATGGGCTGATTCATGAAATAATGGCTGAGCCACATTTATCCTCTCACTCTCTCTCTCGCGCGCACTCCCTGTCCGTAGATCTTGTGAGTACATACGTCCTTTAAGAGCCTAAGAATTACTATAAAAAAGTAAACAGATAAAAGAGAAGAGAAATTTCAGAAACGTCTAAACTGATCGCGAAGCTTATCCCGTAACATAACATTATTAAAAAAATAAAATAGAATAAAAAAACAATTGCGAAATTGTTTAAATTAATAACATTACTTACAGTAGCATAAATGGGTAATGTCCAGTATTATATAAAAACTTTTGATAAATTTTCTAATCTTTAATTAAACTTTCGACGTAGCACTATTATTTACAACAAAAAAATATGGAAATGTCTTAAAATCGTCCGTACTGTTCACACTACTATATCGTAATATAAATTGGTGATCACAATTATAAAAAAAAATTAGAAATCCTCCAAGTGTATCGTAGAATTTACCATAGCGATCTACATTTTAAAACAAAACGTAAATGAAAATATAAAATAGTGTAAACTAAACACCAAACTTTCCTTAGCGTGAACCGTCAAATACACTGCTTTACCATTTTATTGCCCACGCTATACTAATGCACGCACATACTTTATCCTATAGGTACCCATTATAATGCATATGCCTCTTCGAACGATCATTAAATTCTTACTTTTAAAACACGTCTCTTCTTTCTGTAACCATTCGAAAGAAGACGTTCCATCTATTAAAGAAGAAAAAAAAGACACAGACCAAAGTTAGATACAATGTAAGTAAGATAATTGCAATCCAAAGAAACAAAAAAAAAATGAAAAGAACAGAAGAACGAAACGAAACGACGAAGAAACCAAAAGAAGTTTCGGAGAGTCTTGAAAATTAAAAAGAAAAAATTATCCGAGGTTATTATATATCATTACCCACCCACCCGCGAAGCTCTCAAACTCTCATTCGTTCCTGCCTTTTACCCCCACTCACCATAACTTACATCCCCCTCTATCCAAAAGTGCAAAAGCTACACGACCTTTCATTCTCGAATTTATTCTCTAACCTTCGAGCATTAGTCGACTCGAATTCGATTGATACGTTGTTGTCTCGTACTACCTATAACAAACGTTCATTAACAGAAGAATAAATAAAGAAAAATTACGCCGAATTCGAGAAGAAAGAATTGGTTAAGTTCACGATACTCACGTGATACACATCAGTGATGTATCCAAAGGAAGGAGTGATCACTCATTCGTTGTCCTAGGAAAAATTATTTTGCTAATATTTTCATGTCTTCGCACGTTATGCGAGTGTGTTGAGGCAAGTGTTGGGTGAAAAGTTAACAAGTGATTTTTTGATAGAGAAAAAAGAAAAGAACGAATAAATTGTGAAAACCGAATAAATATCGTTCACCACGACGTTTAGTAATTTTTGTGGATAATTTTTTTTTTCCTCTTATCAAATTGAATACAAGAAGAACAGGGAATAATTTATAGAATGAACTTTTCTATCGTACACTAAAAAGTTTTAATGATTCGAATGGAAAATGTTCGTTTGAAGTGCAATAAAATGCAATTAATCGATTTTTAAAATCGATGAGCCTGTGCATGGGATTGAATGTACGTGCACTTCGTGTGTATGTGTGAGTAATATAAACTTATAAAGAGAAAAAAATTAGGAAATATTCATGAAGCTCTATTACAGAGATAATTGTTAAATCAATAAATCATTGGATGCACTCATTTAAAGAAAGTTTTGTCGATCGGTGTTTAGAAGTTACATAGTTTTTTTTCCTTTATGAGTCGTTCTTGCTAGCAATGGTGAATACGTATTCTAAAATTAATTTTTTTTCTCCCTTTCTTTTCTGCTTATCAGTTTTCTTGTTCTTTTTTCGATCAAGTAAGATTACAGAAAACTACGTGCGGCCGTGTATAGGCATGTGTGTTTTTGTTAAATTGATTTTGAATAATAATTTTCTCTTTTAATTAAATTATAAAAAATCACGAATCGTTTTTTATTAAATGAATCAACAAATGACGCGTTGTTTTTTTCTTCCGTCCGTACTTTGAATAATATTTTTACAATTTTTTACTATTCATATGTTATAGTAAAGAAAAATAAATTATTGATTTATGAAAATTTTTCATAAAACGAATCGTAATGGATGACATTTTCTTCTGTATTTTTTTCATTTATATTAAAAGATATAAAGATCTTATATTGATAATATATATTGAAGGATATATTGAAATTTTCTTAATTTTTTTTTTGTTATACGAGATGGTAATGAAAAAAAAAGAAGTAAAGGAACAATATGCAAGAAAAATTTAATTAATCATTATACTTCAAGGAAGCAAAATAGTTAGTTAATTAGATAATTGAAAAAAAAATAAAAAATGCATTATAAATGGGAATATATGCAAAAATAATATTTCGATTTCGTAGTAATTGACTGATTTAAAAAGACCAAAGGAACAAAAAGAATAATGTAATTAAAATTCAATTTATCAATAACTCTCGAGAAAGCTAAACGATTTAATTATCTTAATTAATTGACTAAAAGAAAGTAAAACTACAAACCGAAAAAATAAATAAAAAGAAATAAAGGATGTAAAGAAAAAGAAAAAGGATAAGAGAAATAAGAAAATCTTTGTTTTAGGAGCTTGACTTTCGCAATGCCAGGAAGATAATAGATTTTAACAAACGTACGTTAAATTGCGCGGGAATTTGGCCAGAAAACATTCACGAGCCGATTTTCATTTTTTTCTCTGTTTACTTGATTATACAATGTACGATGGGAGTCATCACGATTACCGATAACATATCGAATGTGGAATATGTTATTGCTTGCTTTGAAGAGAACTTGTTCGATTTTATGGCGCTATTGAAGATATCCATATACAGAATGAATAGCAGTTCGTTGGCCGAAATTTTAAAAGAAGTCAAAATCGATCTTATTCCAGAAAGATACAAAACCGATGAGGAAAAGATCGCCTTTTTAAATTATAACAATTTTAGTATAAAGTTCATTAAGTTGAGTATGGGCGCAAGCAGCACAGCCGCTTTGCTGTATTATCTGTCCGTTTTAGCTACCAACATTGAAATGGGTAAATTTTTTTATAATTAAATCGAAATCATATATAACTAATGGATTTTTTTCTGCTTTTCTTTTATTCATTTATTCATTTTTCGTCGTATAATAATTTTTTTTCTTTTAAATTCAATTACTTATTTATTTATTTATTTTTTATCATTAGGATCAGTAATTTTTGTAAATGTTCTTCAACTATTTTCCTTTTCTTTTTATTTATCATCTTTTTTTATTCGAGAATAATTTTTATTGTAACGATCGTCGACTTTTATTGTTTTAATTTTTTGTGAAAATATTTTTAATATTTTAATTTATTTCAATTATATATAATTGTATAATTTTTTATTTCACTTTATTACAGTATTATAATTTTGTAAATTTAAAATACTTTATTTTAACATATATTGAAATATATTTTTGTTGATTTTTCTTGTTTCTGATTGTTTTTCTTCTTATTTATATCTTTTACATTAAATATATATTATCTGAACAGAAGATAGTTAGTATAATTATATATCGGTTGTTCGAAATAGAAACCTTTGAAATAATAATCACGTAAAATAACTTTTTAATACTATTTTTATTTCAAATTAATTAAAAAAAAATTAATATTATCATCCGTTTAAAAAATTTTTTTTATAGAAAAATATTGAATATCTTAATATTTTTCGTTAAGTATAATGTTCATAAGATAAAAAAAGAAATTATAACTAAAATTATTTTTTTTTTGCTGAATGCAATTACAAATAATACCATAAGAAATTATAATATTATTATATCGAGAAAAATCTGAAATTAATTTTACAAATATCATTTCTTATTAGTTAAAATAGAGAAAATAAATCATTTCTATAGTTATCGTTCAATAAAAAAAAACAAAAAAATAATACGTTTCTAATAAAACGAAATGTTTCCTTTATAATTATTTTCCTACTTACAGTCGTTGCAAATTCATCTTACGGATACGTATTGCCATACAAAATTCGTCCGCTGATCGAACCGACAAATCTGATAACCTACATCTGTCTTTGTCTATATCAATTTATAACAGTACTAATTTTAATCTTCGGTTATGTCGGAACTGATTGTCTATTAATCAGTTAGGCACTCCATCTCAGCGGTGTTTTCTCTGCACTTTCCTCGAAAGTAAAGCACGTTTTGGGCAATCCTGAGAATCGTAAACGTCGAATAAAAAAATTAATTTTGAGACACATACGTCTATTACGGTAATAATAATAAATAATAACAACAATAACAAAAACAATAATAATAATATTATTGATAATGTGCAGGAAATGATGATAATAATAATAATACCAATAATAATGAATAAAATAATTAAGAGAATACATTAATAAAATTTACAAAATAAAAATGTGCATATATATATATATATATATGATATGTATTTATACATGTATACATATACTATGTAGAGTGTTTCAGGTTAGCTGATTCTTTGGAAAGTGAATTCAACCTACTAATTTTACAACAATTATTGGGAAGTACCCTTCATCTTTGTCTTCTTGGTTACGACGCGCTCGTTGTAAATTTAACATATACATTTCGTTATTGCTTATTTCTAGAAGATATTTTTTAGAAAATATTAGATTAAATTATTATTATTTCCAGTTTATAGCGGCAGGAGAGCAAAAAAAGTTAATCGCTTTTGTCATAGTTGCATGTCGTGCTTTAACCTCGGTATTGGCTTATTGCTATATCGGAGAATGTCTTATTAATGAAGTACGTAAATTATCTCAGTTGCACGTTATTAAGTCATTTTATACTACTAATAGAATAATATTGTTTCACACTTTCAAATAAAGAAACACACCCAAACATATAAACATTTATTATTTATTTTTGTAATTCATTTACATTTATTTCTATTTGTTTATAGCTACATATTTCTCTCTATTATTTTTTATATTTTAATTTTATATATGTTCATATATTTTTTCTTTGATACATTATTTATTATATTTATTATTTCTATTTTCTAATTACATTCTTTTGATATTATTGTTTTAGAACAATTTTTTTATATTTAAAAATCAATGTGTATATATATGTATATATTTAAAAAGATTTATATTATACATACTAAATTCATATAATTTATAAATTATATGTATTGTGTTGCAAAAAAATTTAACATCACATTTGCTAACTTCTGGAATTCATGATTTCAAAAGCATATTTGAAGACAAATTTTTTTCTCCTTTTTTCTCTTTTTATAATTCTGATTGAACTGTCATGGTTTCCAGTTCCATTCCTCACCCCTTTCGCTGTCGCAAACAATTGATAATTTTTATTACAGATTAAGAAATGTTTAAAAACATATTTTACAGAGTACATCCTTTGGTAAATCATTTTATCAATGCAAATGGTACAACATATCGCAAGAGGAGATTAAATTAATGCACATTTGTATGGTGCGATCGTCGAAACAAATGCAACTGACCGTAGGCAAATTTTTCGTGTTGTCGTTGACTACATTCACAGATGTGAGTAAAAATTAAATTTTTTTCTTTTCTTCGTTTTTTCTGTCCTTTTTTCACCATAAATATATATATATATTTATATAATCTTCTGAATCATCATTAATATCCTTTATTCATATGTTCTCATACGTGTTTAGGTTGTGAAGACATCAATGGCGTATTTTTCCGTACTACGGACGTTTATGTAAAAAGAACGATAACATAAAAATATTAAAGAGGAAAGTTGAAAAAAAACAATAAAGAATTTTAAGTGTTACATTCAAATAGAGAAAACGAAAAATGAAAAATAGGAAGGGTATCTTATCAAAGAAATAAAATTGATGAAATAGTCGATGTTATGTTTCTTTATTTCAAACATTTAATTTAAGAAGAAATAGCACACTGTTATTGATCTAAATGATAATATTAAAAAGATTTTATTTTTCCTTGTTTACAATCTCGTTATTTCGACCGTGCGTCCGTGTTTTCGATAAAAACCGAATTGAACGTCGTAGCGAAAAAAAGAATAATCGAAAGAGCACAGATAACATAAAGAGAAAAAATGAAATGGATGGAAATTCAAAATTAATTTTATTATTTAAATTATATTAATTATTACTAAATTATATTATTATAAAAATGTGAATGGCATCGTCGTGAAATTCTTCTGGAGAAAAAAATTTAAATAAAATATGATAAATTTGAACATTATCTATGAAGATATCGGTCGAAGATCATTTTCTTTTCTGTTTCCTTTTTTGTAATGTAACAAGTCGAAGAAGTATTAAAGACTCAAGAGGATAACATATATCGCTCTTCCTTTCAATCTGTTGCTTCTTTTTATTTTCAATTTTTTCATGTTTTTTCTTTTTTTGTTTGATTACTTTCATTTCAAACCATTCAAGATCGTGAACCTTTTTCTACTTCACGAGAGATACTTCGCGATCGCTAGTGTATGGCCATTGAGAAATAGTTACGATTAATATGCAATATATGCCGTTTATTGCTCGATACAAATCACATTGGCACATATCGATTTGTACGTTATAATAGACGACGCTTATTTTATGGCAGAGAATCTTTTGGAAACTTAAGTACCGAGTTTGTGGGTGTTACTGATAATAATTCTTCGTTTTCATCCGATTTTTGTAACATTGATCATCACTATCAAGATCGAAATTGTCAATGACGGCAGATACCTAGAAATCAACAAGAATCGTTCAATTTATTATCGTTACAATCACATATAGATCACACTTTCGAAAATCGCATCGACAACTTCAATATAACGACGATGTAAACTATTGCCAAATCTTTATGCTTTACTACATTCTATGGATATATATATATATATATATATATATATATATATTATTTCTTTCAAGTGTATATACGCACAATTATAAAAATATTTAATTTTCTGTATTATAATGTGATTTTTAAATATGTATATATATATATATATGTGTGTGTGTGTAATATTTAAACATTAATATATTTTTAATATTAGTGTATTAAAATTTTATAAAATAAAATTTTCGTCATTACCTCCATATATATATATATATATGGAGAAAAAAACAAAAGAGACATCATTCATATAAAGAAAACTGAACTGCAAAATAAATTAAGAAAAATGAATAACATCCGATCAATTGAGTTCACATTGAAATTGTAAAATTATTAGATATATTTAAATTTGAGTGCTAATTTTAGTTCTTGCAATTTCAGATTATGCGCTTCCATTCCGGGGTATCGTACCGATTCCATCGATTTCTATGTCCATAGATCTTTCAGAATACTCAAATGCTTAAAGAGAACCATCAATGATTATTATTTATTAATTATTATTCCTTCTTAAAAGGTGTATCCATGTAAAACCTGTATTCATTATACTTGTTCTACATGTGTTACTGATCTTAGACATCACGAAATATGGCTGAGACGCATTTAACCTCTCTCTGTGTCTCTCTCTCTCTCTTTCTCGCACTCCCTGTCCGTAAATCTTGAAGTGTACATACGTCCTTTAAAAGTTTAAGAGTTACTACAAAAAAGACAAAGAAAGAAGAGTAGAGACATTTCAGAAACGTCTGAACTTGTCGCAAAACCTATCCCATAACATAACACGGGGACAACGTAATTAAAAAAATAAAATAGAATAAAAAAGAAATTGCGAAATCGTTTAAATTAATAACATTACTTACAGTAGCATAAATGGGTAATGTCCAGTATTATATAAACACTTGTCAAAATTTTCTAATCTTTAATTAAACTCTCGACGAAACACTATTATATACAAAAAAAAAAAAAAATAGAAATGTCTTATAATCGCCTGAACTTTTCACAAAAGTTTAACGTAACATAAATTAACGATTACGACTATAAAAAGAAATTCAGAATCCTCTAAGTGGATCGTGAAATTTATCATAACGATCTACAATTCAAAAGAAAACGAAAATGAAAATACAAAACACTCTAAACAAAACGCAACGCTTTCCTTACCGTGAACCTTCAACTACACTGCTTTACCATTTCATTGCACACGCTATACTAATCCTTGCACATACTTTTTCCTATAATGAATATGCCTCTTCGAACGATCATTAAATTCTTACTTTTGAAAAACGTTTCTCCGTACGGTAAACGTTCGAAAGAGGATCCACCCATTAAAAAAGAAAAGAAAGACAGACCGAAGTTAGACCCAGTGTAGGTAAGATAATTGCAATGCAAGGAAACAAAAAAAGGGAAAAGAAAAGCAGAGCGAAACGAAACGACGAAGAATCAGAAAGAAGTTTCGGAAAGTTTCGAAAATTAAAAAGAAAAAAATATCCGAGGTTATTATAAACAATTATCCATCACCCACGAAACTCTCAAACTCTCATTCGTTGCTGCCTTTTGCTCCCACTCTCCATAACTTACATCCCCCTCCATCCAACCAATGCAAAAGCTATACGACCTTTCATTCTCGAATTTATTCTCTAACCTTCGAACATTAGTCGACTCGAATTCGATTGATACGTTGTTGTCACGTACATCCAATCACAATCGTTCATTGACAAAGGAATAAGAAAAGAAAAATTACGACGAATTCGAAAAGGAAGGATTGGTTAAGTTCACGATACTCACGTGATACACATCAGTGATGTATCCAAAGGAAGGAGTGATCACTCATTCGTTGTCCTAGGAAAAATTATTTTGCTAATATTTTCATGTCTTCGTCACGTTATGCGAGTGTGTTGAGGCAAGTGTTGGGTCAAAAGTTAACAAGTGATTTTTTGATAGAGAAAAAAGAAAAGAACGAATAAATTGTGAAAAACGAATAAATATCGTTCACCACGACGTTTAGTGATTTTTGTGGATAATTTTTTTTTCCTCTTATCAAATTGAATACAAGAAGAACAGAGAATAATTTATAGAATGAACTTTTCTATCGTACACTAAAAAGTTTTAATGATTCGAATGGAAAATGTTCGTTTGAAGTGCAATAAAATGCAATTAATCAATTTTTAAAACCAATCAGTTTGTGTATGGTAGTGAATGTGTCTCCACTCACGTCCATATGTGCCTACCATAAAGCTATAAAGAGAAAAAATTAGGAAATATTCATGAAGCTCTATTACAGAGATAATTGTTGAATGAATAAATCATAGGGTGCACTCATTTAAAGAAAGTTTTCTCGATCGGTGTTTAGAAGTTACATAGTTTTCTTTCCTATATATGTCGTCCTTGTTAGCAATGGTGAATATGTATTCTAAAATTTATTTTTTTTTTTTTTATCATTTCTTTTCCGTTTATCAGTTTTCTTGTTCTTTTTTCAATCAAGTAAGATTTCAAAAGGGTACGTGTGGCCGTGCATACGCATGTGCGCTTTTGTTTTTGTCAAATTGATTTTAAATAATAATTTTCTCTTTTAATTAAATTATAAAAAATCTCGAGTTGTTTTCTTGCTCAGTGAATCAACATATGAGGTGTTGTTTTTTTCTTCCATCTGTATTTTGAATAATACTTTTACAATATTTTACTATTCAAATGTTATAGTAAAGAAAAATAAATTATTGAATTATGAAAATTTTCTATAAGACGAATCGTAATCAATGACAGTTTTTTCTGTATTTCTTTGATTTCTATTAAAATATCTTATATTGAAAATCTATATTGAAGGATAAATAATAAAAATTTTCTTAATTTCTTATTATTATACGACATAGTAATGAAAACAAAAAAAAGTAAATGAAAAATATGCAAGAAAAATTTAATTAATCATTATACTTCAAGGAAGCAAAATAGATAGTTAATTAGATAATCGAAAAAAAATAAAATATGTATTATAAATGGGAATATTTGCAAAAATAATATTTCGATTTCGTAGTAATTGACTAATTTAGAAAGACTAAAAGGAAACAAAAAAACATAATGCAAGAAAAATTCAATTTATCAATAACTCTCGAAAAAGTTAAACGATTTAATTAACTTAAATAATTGATTAAAAGAAAGAAAAACTAGAAACAAAAAAATAATTTAAAAAAAGATAAAGGATGTAAAGATAAAGATAAAGAAAAAGAATAAGAGAAATAAGAGAATGTTCGTTTCAGGAGCTTGACTTTCGCGATGCCAGGAAGTTAATAGATTTGAACAAACGTACGTTAAATTGCGCAGGAATTTGGCCAGAAAAGATTCACGAGCCGATTTTCATTTTTTTCTCTGTTTACTTGGTTATACAATGTACGATGGGAGTCATTTCGATTACCGAAAACATATCGGATATGGAATATGTTATTGCTTGCTTTGAAGAGAACTTGTTCAATTTTATGACGCTATTGAAGATATCCATATGCAGAATTAATAGCAATTCGTTGGCCGAAATTTTAAAGGAAGTCAAAATCGATCTTATTCCAGAAAGATACAAAACCGATGAGGAAAAGATTGCTTTTTTAAATTATAACAATTTTAGTCTAAAGCTCGTTAAGTTGAGTATAGGAGCAAGCAGCACAGCCGCTTTGCTGTATTATCTGTCCCTTTCAGCTACCAACATTGAAATGGGTAAATTTTTTTATAATTAAATCGAAATCGTATTCGATCAATGGATTTTTTCGATTTTTCTTTTTTTCATTTATTTATTTTACGATGAATAATAATTTTTTTTCTTTTACATTCGACTACATATGTATTTATTTATTTTTTATCATTTAGATCAGTAATTTTTTAAATGTTCTTCAACTATTTTCCTTTTCTTTTTATTTATCATCTTCTTTCTTATATTCGTGAATAATTTTTATTGTAACGACTGATGACTTTTATCGTTTTAATTTTTAGTGAATATATTTTTAATATTCTAATTTATTTCAATTATATATAATTGTATAATTTTTTTTTCAATTTATTATATTATTATAATTTTGAAAATTTTTAATATTTTATTTTAATATAAATTGAATTTTATGTTGATTTTTTTTATTTCTAATAGTTTTTCTTTTTTTTATATCTTTTACATTAAATATATATTATTTTTAACAGAAGATAGTTAGTATAATTATATATCGGATGTCAGAAATAAAAACGTTAGAAATTTTAATCACGTAAAATAAATTTTTAATATTACTTTTATTTCAAATATTAAAAAAAGAAATTAATATTATTGTACGGTTTAAAAATATTTATAATAGAAAAATATTGCATATCCTTATATTTTTCGTTAAGAATAATGTTCATAAGATAAAAAGAGAAATTATAACTAAAATTATTTTTTTTTCTTGTTAAAAGCAATTACAAATAATATCAAAAGAAATTATAATATTATTATGTCGAGAAAAATCTAAAATTGATTTTACGGATATCATTTCTTATTAGTTAAAATTGAGAAATTAAATTTTTTCTATAGTTATCGTTTAATAAAAAAAACAAAAAATACGTTTCTAATAAAATAAAATGTTCCTTTTATAATTATTTTGTTACTTACAGTCCTTGCAAATTCATCTTACGGATACGTATTGCCATACAAAATTCGTACGCTGATCGTACCGACAAATCTAATAATCTACATCTGTCTTTGTCTATATCAATTTATAACAGTACTAATTACAGTCTTCGGTTATGTCGGAACTGATTGTCTATTAATCAGTTTGGTACTCCATGTCAGCGGTGTTTTCTCTGCACTTTCCTCCAAAGTAAAGCACGTTTTGGACAATCCGGAGAATCGTAAACGTCGAATAAAGAAATTAATATTAAGACACATACGTCTAGTACGGTAATAATAATAAATAATGACAACAACAACAAAATACAAAAACAATAATAATAATAGTATTAATAATGTGGCGGATGATGATGATAATTATAATAATACCAGTAATAATGAATAAAATAACTAAAAGAATACATTAATGAAATTTGCAAAATAAATATATACATATATATAAATATATATATATATAATATATATTTATATATGTATACTATACTATGTAGAATGTTTCAGGTTAGCTGATTCTTTGGAAAGTGAATTCAACCTAATAATTTTACAGCAATTAATGGGAAATACCCTTCATCTTTGTCTTCTTGGTTACGACTCGCTCGTTGTAAATTTAATATATACATTTCGTTATTGCTTATTTCTAAAAGATATTTTTTTGAACATATTATATTAAATTATTATTATTTCCAGTGTATAGCGTCAGGAGAAAAAAAAAAGTTAATCGCTTTTGTCATAGTTGCATGTCGTGTTTTATGCACGGTATTGGCTTATTGCTATATCGGAGAGTGTCTTATTAATGAAGTACGTAAATTATCTCAGTTGCACGCAATTAAGTCATTTTATACTGCAAATACAATGATATCGTTTCACACTTTCACATAAAGAAACACACACACTCATACACATAAACATTAATTATTTTTTTTTATAATTCATTTACATTTATTTCTATTTTTTTTATAGCTATTTATTTCTCTCTATTATTTCTTATATTTTAATTTCATATATAATAATTCCATATATATATTTTTTTTTGATACATTATTTATTATATTTGTTTGTTATAATTATCTAATCATAATTTTTTGTTTTTTTTCTTAGAACAATATTTTTATACTTAACAATCAATGTGTATATATATGTATATATTTGCATAGATTTATATTATATTATACATACTATATTCATGTAATTTATAAATTATATGTATTGTGTCGCAAAAAATTTGACATCACATTTCAGAACTTCAGGAATTCACGAATTCAAGAGTATATCAGAAGACATTTTTTTCTCCTTTTTTTCTCTTTTTATATTTCTGATTGACCTGTCATGATTCTCAGTTCCATCCCTCACCTCTTCCCTGACGCAAATAATTGAAAATTTTTATTACAGATTAATAAATGTTTAAAAATATATTTTACAGAGTACATTCTTTGGTGAATCATTTTATCACTGCAAATGGTATAACATATCGCAAGAGGAGATTAAATTAATGCACATTTGTATGGTGCGATCGTCAAAGCAAATGCAACTGACCGTAGGCAAATTTTTCTTGTTGTCGTTGACTACATTCACAGATGTGAGTAGAAATTAAATTTCTTTTCTTTTTTTCGTTTTTTCTGTCCTTCTTTCACCATAAATATATGTATATATATTTATATAATCTTCTAAATCATCATTAATATCATTTATTCGTACGTTTGCGTACGTTTCTAGGTTGTCAAGACATCAATGGCGTATTTATCCGTACTACGGACGTTTATGTAAAGAGAACGGAAACAAAAATATTAAACAGAGAAGGTAAAAAAAAAACAATAGAGAACTTTAGTGTTACATTTAATTTAACGAAAAAATTAAAAAAAGAAAGGGAATTTTATCATAAAAATAAAATTGATTAAATAATCGTTGTTACGTTTCTTTATTTTAAACATTTAATTTAAGAAGAGAAAGCTGACTATTATTTATCTAAATGATAGTATTAAAAATATTTTATTTTATCTTGTTTACAATTTCGTTATCTCGACTGTGCGTCCGTGCTTCCGATAAAAAACGAACTGAAGGTTGTAGCGAAAAAAAAAAGAAATCGAAAGAACAAAGATAAGAAGAAGAAAAAAAATGAGGAAGAAAGAAATACAAAAATTATTTTATTATTTAATTTATATTAATTATTATTAAATCATATTATTATAAAAATGTGAATGAAAATGTCCTTCTGAAGAAAAAAAATTGAATAAAATAAAATAAAGTTTAACGTTATGTATGGTGATTTCAATCGATGATTATTTTTTTTCTGATTCTTTTCTTTTATGTAAAAAATCGAAGAAGTAATGAAGACTCAAGAGGATGACGTAAATCTCCTGATTCTTTCTAATTTGTTGTCTTCTTTTTTAATTTACATTTTTTGTTGTATTTTTTTTTTTGTTTAATTATTTTCAGATCAAACCATTCGAGATCGTGGACGTTTCTTTATTTCACGACAAATACTTCTTGATAGGAGGTGTATGGCTATTGAGAAGAAGTTACGTTCGATATCTTGGTTTGCAGATCATTCAGAAAACTCAACTGATTAAAGTGAACATTCATTGTTTATTATTTATTAATTATTATACCTTCTTAAAAGCTGTGTCCATGGTAGTATTTGTATTCATTATACCTGTTTTAAATATAGTACTAATCCTAGTCCTAGTAAATGTGTTACTATACGCAAACATTTGTGTAATAGGCAATGCGTCCAGATTACATGGACTGATTCACGAAGTAATGGCTGAGAAACATTTATCCTCTCTGTCTCTCCCTCTCTCTCTCGCACTCCCTGTCCGTAGATCTTGAAGTGTACATACGTCCTTTAAAAGTCTAAGAGTTACTATAAAAAAGCGAGAGAAAAAAGAGAAGAGACATTTCAGAAACGTCTAAATTGATCGCAAAACTTATCCCGTAACATAACACGGGGGACAACATTATTAAAAAAATAAAATAGAATAAAAAAGAAATTGCGAAATCGTTTAAATTAATAACATTACTTACAGTAACATCAATGGTTAATGTCCAATATTATATAAAAACTTTGCAAAATTTTCTAATCTTTAATTAAACTTTCGACGAAATACTGTTATATAAAAAAAAAAAAAAAATGGTAATGTCTCATAATCGTCTGAACTTTTCACAAAAGTTTAACGTAACATAAATTAGCGATTACGATTATAAAAAAAAATTCAGAATCCTCTAAATGGATCTAAAAATTTACCATAGCGATCTACATTTTAAAACAAAACGTAAATGGTAATATGAAATAGTGTAAATTAAACACAAAACTTTCCTTACCGTGAACCGTCAACTACACTGCTTTACCATATCATTGCACACGCTATACTAATACTCGAACATACTTTTCCCTATAATGCGTATGCCTCGTCGAACGATCATTAAATTCTTACTTTTGAAAAACGTTTCTCCGTACGGTAAACGTTCGAAAGAGGATCCACCCATTAAAAAAGAAAAGAAAGACAGACCGAAGTTAGACCCAGTGTAGGTAAGATAATTGCAATGCAAGGAAACAAAAAAAGGGAAAAGAAAAGCAGAGCGAAACGAAACGACGAAGAATCAGAAAGAAGTTTCGGAAAGTTTCGAAAATTAAAAAGAAAAAAATATCCGAGGTTATTATAAACAATTATCCATCACCCACGAAACTCTCAAACTCTCATTCGTTGCTGCCTTTTGCTCCCACTCTCCATAACTTACATCCCCCTCCATCCAACCAATGCAAAAGCTATACGACCTTTCATTCTCGAATTTATTCTCTAACCTTCGAACATTAGTCGACTCGAATTCGATTGATACGTTGTTGTCACGTACATCCAATCACAATCGTTCATTGACAAAGGAATAAGAAAAGAAAAATTACGACGAATTCGAAAAGGAAGGATTGGTTAAGTTCACGATACTCACGTGATACACATCAGTGATGTATCCAAAGGAAGGAGTGATCACTCATTCGTTGTCCTAGGAAAAATTATTTTGCTAATATTTTCATGTCTTCGTCACGTTATGCGAGTGTGTTGAGGCAAGTGTTGGGTCAAAAGTTAACAAGTGATTTTTTGATAGAGAAAAAAGAAAAGAACGAATAAATTGTGAAAAACGAATAAATATCGTTCACCACGACGTTTAGTGATTTTTGTGGATAATTTTTTTTTCCTCTTATCAAATTGAATACAAGAAGAACAGAGAATAATTTATAGAATGAACTTTTCTATCGTACACTAAAAAGTTTTAATGATTCGAATGGAAAATGTTCGTTTGAAGTGCAATAAAATGCAATTAATCAATTTTTAAAACCAATCAGTTTGTGTATGGTAGTGAATGTGTCTCCACTCACGTCCATATGTGCCTACCATAAAGCTATAAAGAGAAAAAATTAGGAAATATTCATGAAGCTCTATTACAGAGATAATTGTTGAATGAATAAATCATAGGGTGCACTCATTTAAAGAAAGTTTTCTCGATCGGTGTTTAGAAGTTACATAGTTTTCTTTCCTATATATGTCGTCCTTGTTAGCAATGGTGAATATGTATTCTAAAATTCATTTTTTTTTTTTTTATCATTTCTTTTCCGTTTATCAGTTTTCTTGTTCTTTTTTCAATCAAGTAAGATTACAAAAGGGTACGTGTGGCCGTGCATACGCATGTGCGCTTTTGTTTTTGTCAAATTGATTTTAAATAATAATTTTCTCTTTTAATTAAATTATAAAAAATCTCGAGTTGTTTTCTTGCTCAGTGAATCAACATATGAGGTGTTGTTTTTTTCTTCCATCTGTATTTTGAATAATACTTTTACAATATTTTACTATTCAAATGTTATAGTAAAGAAAAATAAATTATTGAATTATGAAAATTTTCTATAAGACGAATCGTAATCAATGACAGTTTTTTCTGTATTTCTTTGATTTCTATTAAAATATCTTATATTGAAAATCTATATTGAAGGATAAATAATAAAAATTTTCTTAATTTCTTATTATTATACGACATAGTAATGAAAACAAAAAAAAGTAAATGAAAAATATGCAAGAAAAATTTAATTAATCATTATACTTCAAGGAAGCAAAATAGATAGTTAATTAGATAATCGAAAAAAAATAAAATATGTATTATAAATGGGAATATTTGCAAAAATAATATTTCGATTTCGTAGTAATTGACTAATTTAGAAAGACTAAAAGGAAACAAAAATACATAATGCAAGAAAAATTCAATTTATCAATAACTCTCGAAAAAGTTAAACGATTTAATTAACTTAAATAATTGATTAAAAGAAAGAAAAACTAGAAACAAAAAAATAATTTAAAAAAAGATAAAGGATGTAAAGATAAAGATAAAAAAAAAGAATAAGAGAAATAAGAGAATGTTCGTTTCAGGAGCTTGACTTTCGCGATGCCAGGAAGTTAATAGATTTGAACAAACGTACGTTAAATTGCGCGGGAATTTGGCCAGAAAAGATTCACGAGCCGATTTTCATTTTTTTCTCTGTTTACTTGGTTATACAATGTACGATGGGAGTCATTTCGATTACCGAAAACATATCGGATATGGAATATGTTATTGCTTGCTTTGAAGAGAACTTGTTCAATTTTATGACGCTATTGAAGATATCCATATGCAGAATTAATAGCAATTCGTTGGCCGAAATTTTAAAGCAAGTCAAAATCGATCTTATTCCAGAAAGATACAAAACCGATGAGGAAAAGATTGCTTTTTTAAATTATAACAATTTTAGTCTAAAGCTCGTTAAGTTGAGTATAGGAGCAAGCAGCACAGCCGCTTTGCTGTATTATCTGTCCCTTTCAGCTACCAACATTGAAATGGGTAAATTTTTTTATAATTAAATCGAAATCATATTTGATCAATGGATTTTTTTTTGTTTTTCTTTTGTTCATTTATTAATTTTTCGTCGTATAATAATTTTTTTTCTTTTAAATTCAATTACTTATTTATTTATTTATTTTTTATCATTAGGATCAGTAATTTTTGTAAAAGTTCTTCAACTATTTTCAATTTCTTTTCATTTATCATCTTCTTTTTTATATTCGTGAATAATTTTTATTGTAACGACTGATGACTTTTATCGTTTTAATTTTTAGTGAATATATTTTTAATATTCTAATTTATTTCAATTATATATAATTGTATAATTTTTTATTTCAATTTATTATATTATTATAATTTTGAAAATTTTTAATATTTTATTTTAATATAAATTGAAGTATATTTTTATGTTGATTTTTTTTATTTCTAATAGTTTTTATTTTTTTTATATCTTTTACATTAAATATATATTATTTTTAACAGAAGATAGTATAATTATATATCGGATGTCAGAAATAAAAACGTTAGAAATTTTAATTCCGTAAAATAAATTTTTAATATTACTTTTATTTCAAATATTAAAAAAAGAAATTAATATTATTGTACGGTTTAAAAATATTTATAATAGAAAAATATTGCATATCCTTATATTTTTCGTTAAGAATAATGTTCATAAGATAAAAAAAGAAATTATAACTAAAATTATTTTTTTTTCTTGTTAAAAGCAATTACAAATAATATCAAAAGAAATTATAATATTATTATGTCGAGAAAAATCTAAAATTGATTTTACGGATATCATTTCTTATTAGTTAAAATTGAGAAATTAAATTTTTTCTATAGTTATCGTTTAATAAAAAAAACAAAAAATACGTTTCTAATAAAATAAAATGTTCCTTTTATAATTATTTTGTTACTTACAGTCCTTGCAAATTCATCTTACGGATACGTATTGCCATACAAAATTCGTACGCTGATAGTACCGACAAATCTAATAATCTACATCTGTCTTTGTCTATATCAATTTATAACAGTACTAATTACAGTCTTCGGTTATGTCGGAACTGATTGTCTATTAATCAGTTTGGTACTCCATGTCAGCGGTGTTTTCTCTGCACTTTCCTCCAAAGTAAAGCACGTTTTGGACAATCCGGAGAATCGTAAACGTCGAATAAAGAAATTAATATTAAGACACATACGTCTAGTACGGTAATAATAATAAATAATGACAACAACAACAAAATACAAAAACAATAATAATAATAGTATTAATAATGTGGCGGATGATGATGATATTAATAACAATACCAATAATAATGAATAAAATAAATAAAAGGACACATTAATGAAATTTACAAAATAAAAATATGCATATATATAAATATATGAATGTATATATATATATATATATATATATATATATATATATGTATATATATATATATATATAAATATATAATATATATTTATATATGTATACATATACTATGTAGAATGTTTCAGGTTAGCTGATTCTTTGGAAAGTGAATTCAACTTACTAATTTTACAACAATTAATGGGAAGTACTCTTCACCTTTGTCTTCTTGGTTACGACGCGCTCGCTGTAAATTTAACATATACATTTTTTATTGCATATTTCTAGAAAATATTTTTTAGAAAATATTATATTAAATTATTATTATTTCCAGTGTATAGCGGCAGGAGAGCAAGCAAAGTTAATCTCTAATGTATTAATTGCATGTCGTGTTTTAAGCACGCTATTACTTTACAGCTATATCGGAGAGTGTGTTATTAATGAAGTACGTAAATTATCTCATTTCCACCCAATTATGTCATTTTATACTACTAATACAATAAAATTGTTTCACACTTTCAAATAAAGAAACACACACACACACACACAAACACATAAACATTAATTATTTATTTTTGTAATTCATTTATTTCTATTTGTTTATAGCTACTTATTTCTCTCTATTATTTTTTATATTTATTTATTATTATTTTCTAATTACATTCTTTTGATATAATTTCTTTAGAAAAATTTTTTATATATAAAAATACATATATATATATATATATATATATATATATATATATATATATATGTATATATATGTATATATTTGCACAGATCTATATTACATTATACATACTAAATTCTTATAATTTATAAATTATGTGTACTGTGATGCAAAAAATTTGACATCTCATATGAGTATTTCTGGAATTCGTAACTACCGGAGCATACCTGAAAGCAAATTTTTTTCTCCTTTTTTTCTCTTCTTATATTTCTTATTGAACTGTCATGGTTTCCAGTTTCATCCACTATCCCTTCTTTGACGCAAATAATTTATAATTGTTATTACAGATTAATAAATGTTTAAAAACATACTTTACAGAGTACATCCTTTGGTAAATCATTTTATCAGTGCAAATGGTACAACATATCGCAAGAGGAGATTAAATTAATGCACATTTGTATGGTGCGATCGTCAAAGCAAATGCAACTGACCGTAGGCAAATTTTTCGTGTTGTCGTTGACTACATTCACAGATGTGAGTAAAAATTAAATTTCTTTTCTTTTTTTCGTTTTTTCTGTCCTTTTTTCACCATAAATATATATGTATATATATTTATATAATCTTCTGAATCATTATTAAAATCCTTTATTCATATGTTCTCATACGTTTTTAGGTTGTGAAGACATCAATGGCATACTTATCCGTGCTTCGAACGTTTATGTAAAAAGAACAATAACAGCAGAATACTAAAGAGGAAAGGTAAAAAAAAAACAATAGAGTACTGTAAGTGTTACATTTAAGTTAAAAAATAATTATAAATAGAAAGGGCATCTTATCAAAAAAATAAAATTGATTAAATAATCGACGTTACGTTTCTTTATTTCCAACACTTAATTTAAGAAGAAAAAGTTCTCTTTTATTGGTCTAAATGGTAATATTAAAAATATTTTATTTTTCCGCGTTTACCATCTCGTTATTTCAACTGTGTGTCCGTGCTTGCGATAAAAAACGAACTGAACGTCGTAGCGAAAAAAAGAATAATGGAAAGAGCACAGATAACATAAAGAGAAAAAATGAGAAGGAAGGAAATATAAAAATAATTTTATTATTTCAATTATATTATATTATTATAAAAATGTGAATGACATCGTCGTGAAATCCTTCTGGAGCAAAAAATTTAAATAAAACATGATAAATTTTAACATTATCGATGGAGATATCTCTCGAAGATCATTTTCTTTTCTGTTTCCTTTTTTGTAATGTAACAAGTTGAAGTATTGAAGACTCAAGAGGATAACATATATCACTCTTCCTTTGAATCTGTTGCCTTCTTTTTATTTTCAATTCTTTCATGTTTTTTCTTTTTTTGTTTGATTACTTTCACTTCAAACCATTCGAGATCGTGAACCTTTTTCTACTTCACGAGAGATACTACACGATCGGTAGTGTATGGCCATTGAGAATTAGTTACGATTGATATGCAATTTATCCCGTTTATTGCTGGATAAAAATCACATTGGGATATATGGATTTTTACGATATAATAGACGACCTTTATCTCATGTTACAGAATCTTTATGTAAACTTTAGTGGCGTGTGTGTCGTTGTTAAAGTTAATAATTATTCGACTTTATCTGATTATGGTAACTTTGATCATCACCATCAAGATCGAAATTGTCAATGACCGAAGATACTTCAAAAACAACGAGAAATGTTGAATCTATTATCGTTACAATCACACATAGGACACATTGTCGAAAATCGCATCGACAACTTCAATATAACGACGATGTAAACTATTGTCAAATCATTATGCTTTACTACATTCTATGGATATATATATATTTCTTTTTTTCAAATTTATATACGCACAATTATAAAAATATTTAATTTTTTGTATTATAATGTAATTCTTAAATATATATATATATATATATATATATATATATATATGTATGTATAATATTTAAAAATTATTATATTTTTAATATTAGTGTATTTAAATTTTTTTAAATAAAATTGTCATCATTACTTCCATATATATATATGGAAAAAAAGAAAAAAGAAATATCATTCATATAAAGAGAACTGAACTCAAAAATGAAACAAGAAAAATGAATAACTTATCGGATTAATTGAGTTTACATTGAAATTGTAAAATTATTAGATATATTTAAATTTGTGTGCTAATTTCAGTTCTTGCAATTTCAGATTATGCGCTTTCATTGCGGGGTATCTTACCGATTCCATCGATTTCTATGTCCATAGATCTTTCAGAATACTCAAATGCTTAAAGTGAACCATCAATGATAATTATTTATTAATTATTATTCCTTCTTAAAAGCAGCATCCGTGTAGAACCTGTATTCATTATACCTGTTTTACATGTGTTACCAATCCTAGTGCTAGTAAATGTGTTACTATACGCAAACATTTGTCCAATAGTTAATGGGTCCAGATCACATGGGCTGATTCATGAAATAATGGCTGAGCCACATTTATCCTCTCACTCTCTCTCTCGCGCGCACTCCCTGTCCGTAGATCTTGTGAGTACATACGTCCTTTAAGAGCCTAAGAATTACTATAAAAAAGTAAACAGATAAAAGAGAAGAGAAATTTCAGAAACGTCTAAACTGATCGCGGAGCTTATCCCGTAACATAACATTATTAAAAAAATAAAATAGAATAAAAAACCAATTGCGAAATTGTTTAAATTAATAACATTACTTACAGTAGCATAAGTGGGTAATGTCCAGTATTATACAAAAACTTTTCAAATTTTTTTAATCTTTAATTAAACTTTCGACGAAGCACTATTATATATAACAAAAAAAAAAGAAATAGAAATGTCTTAAAATCGTCCGTACTGTTCACACTACATATCGTAATATAAATTGGTGATCACGATTATAAAAAATAATTCGAAATCCTCCAAGTGGATCGTAAAATTTACCATAGCGATCTACATTTTAAAACAAAACGTAAATGAAAATATGAAATAGTGTAAACTAAACACAAAACTTTCCTTAACGTGAACCGTCAAATACACTGCTTTACCATTGTATTGCACACGTTATACTAATAATTGCACATACTTTTTCCCATAATGCATATGCCTCTTCGAACGATCATTAAATTACTTTTGACAAACGTTTCTTCGTACGGTAAACGTTCGAAAGAACACGTTCCATCTATTAAAAAAGAAAAGAAAGACAGACCGAAGTTAGACACAGTGTAGGTAAGATAATTGCAATGCAAGGAAACAAAAAAAAAGGGAAAAGAAAAGCAGAGCGAAACGAAGCGACGAAGAATCAGAAAGAAGTTTCGGAAAGTTTCGAAAATTAAAAAGAAAAAAATATCCGAGGTTATTATAAACAATTATCCATCACCGACGAAACTCTCAAACTCTCATTCGTTGCTGCCTTTTACCCCCACTCTCCATAACTTACATCCCCCTCCGTTCAACAAATGCAAAAGCTACACGAACTTTCATTCTCGAATTTATTTTCTAACCTTCGAGCATTAGTCGACACGAATTCGATTGATACGTTGTTGTCACGTACATTCAATCACAATCGTTCATTAACAAAGGAATAAGAAAAGAAAAATTACGACGAATTCCAAAAGAAGGAATTTGTTAAGTTCACGATACTCACGTGATCCACATCAGTGATGTATCCTGAGGAAGAAGTGATCACTCATTCGTTGTCCTAACAAAAATTTTTTCTATTAATATTTTCATGACTTCGTCACGTAATGCGAGTGTGTTGAGGCACGTGTTGGGTCAAAAGTTAACAAGTGATTTTTTGAGAGAGAAAAAATAAAGGAACGTAGATATTGTGAAAAACAAATAAAAATCGTTCATCACGGAGTTTAGTGATTTTCGTGGATAATTTTTTTTCTTCTTATCAAATTATATATAAGAAGAATGACGAAAAATTCATAGAAAAAAGTTTCCTATCGTATCGTAAAAAGTTTTAATTATCCGAGTGAAAAATGTCCGTCTGAAGTACATTAAAATGCAATTATTCGATTTTTAAAATCAATCAATTTGTTCATTGGATTGAATGTACGTGCACTTCCTGTGTATGTGTGAGTAATATAAACTTATAAAGAGAAAAAAATTAGAAAATATTCATGAAGTTCTATTACAGAGATAATTGTTAAATCAATAAATCATTGGATGCACTCATTTAAAGAAAGTTTTGTCGATCGGTGTTTAGAAGTTACATAGGTTTTTTTCCTTTATGAGTCATCCTTGCTAGCAATGGTGAATACGTATTCTAAAATTAATTCTTTTTCTCCCTTTCTTTTCTGCTTATCAGTTTTCTTCTTCTTTTTCCGATCAAGTAAGATTACAGAAAACTACGAGTGGCCGTGTGTAGGCATGTGTGTTTTTGTTAAATTGATTTTGAATAATAATTTTCTCTTTTAATTAAATTATAAAAAATCTCGAGTTGTTTTTTTGCTAAGTGAATCAACATATGACGTGTTGTTTTTTTCTTCCATCTGCATTTTGAATAATATTTTTACAATATTTTATTATTCAAATGTTATAGTAAAGAAAAATAAATTAATGAGTTACGAAGATTTTATTAAGGCGAATCGTAATGAGTGACATTTTTTTCTGTATTTCTTTCATTTATATTAAAAGATATAAAAATCTTATGTTGACAATATATATTGAAGGATATATTGAAATTTTCTTAATTTTTTTTTTTTTGTTATTCGAGATGGTAATGAAAAAAAAAGAAGTAAAGGAACAATATGCAAGAAAAATTTAATTAATCATGATCAGTTCAAGGAAGCAAAATAGTTAGTTAATTAGAAAATCGAAAAAAAAATAAAAAATGCATTATAAATGGGAATATATGCAAAAATAATATTTCGATTTCGTAGTATTTGACTAAATTAAAAAGACCAAAGGGGAAAAAAAATAATGTAATAAAAATTCAATTTATCAATAACTCTCGAGAAAGCTAAACGATTTAATTATCTTAATTAATTGACTAAAAGAAAGTAAAACTACAAACCGAAAAAATAAATAAAAAGAAATAAAGGATGTAAAGAAAAAGAAAAAGGATAAGAGAAATAAGAAAATCTTTGTTTTAGGAGCTTGACTTTCGCGATGCCAGGAAGATAATAGATTTGAACAAACGTACGTTAAATTGCGCGGGAATTTGGCCAGAAAAGATTCACGAACCGATTTTCATTTTTTTCTCTGTTTACTTGGTTATACAATGTACGATGGGAGTCATTTCAATTAGCGATAACATATCGGATGTGGAATATGTTATTGCTTGCTTTGAAGAGAACTTGTTCGATCTTATGTCGCTATTGAAGATATGCATATGCAGAATAAAAAGCAATTCTTTGGCCGAAATTTTACAGGAGATCAAAATCGATCTTATTCCAGAAAGATACAAAACCGATGAAGAAAAGATCGCCTTTTTAAATTATAACAATTTTAGTATAAAGTTAATTAAGTTGAGTATCGGCGCAAGCAGCACAGCCGCTTTGCTGTATTATCTGTCCGTTTTAGCTACCAACATTGAAATGGGTAAATTTTTTTATAATTAAATCGAAATCATATTTGATCAATGGATTTTTTTTTGTTTTTCTTTTGTTCATTTATTAATTTTTCGTCGTATAATAATTTTTTTTCTTTTAAATTCAATTACTTATTTATTTATTTATTTTTTATCATTAGGATCAGTAATTTTTGTAAAAGTTCTTCAACTATTTTCCATTTCTTTTCATTTATCATCTTCTTTTTCATATTCGTCAATAATTTTTTTTGTAACGACTATCAACTTTTATTGTTTTAATTTTTAGTGAATACATTTTTAATATTATAATTGATTTCAATTATATATAATGGTATAATTTTTTATTTCAATTTATTATATTATTATAATTTTGAAAATTTTTAATATTTTATTTTAATATATATTGAAATATGTTTTGATGTTGATTTTTCCTGTTTCTAATTGTTTTTCTTTTTTTCACATCTTTTACATTAAATATATATTATCTTTAACAGAAGATAAGTAGTATTATTATATATCGGGTGCCCGAATTGAATACGTCAGAAATTTTATTCACCTAAAGTAAATTTTTAATATTATCTCTATTTCAATTATTAAAAGAAGAAGTTAATATTATTGTATATTTTAAAAATATTTATAATAGAAAAATATTGCATATCCATATATATTTCCTTAAGAATAATGTTCATAAGATAGAAAAAGAAATTATAACTAAAATTATTTTTTTTTTGCTAAAAGCAAATACAAATAATATTATAAGAAATCATAATATTATTATATCGAGAAAAATCTGAAACTGATTTTACAGACATCATTTCTTATTAGTTAAAATTGAGAAATTAAATTTTTTCTATAGTTATCGTTTAATTAAAAAAACAAAAAATACGTTTCTAATAAAATAAAATGTTCCTTTTATAATTATTTTGTTACTTACAGTCCTTGCAAATTCATCTTACGGATACGTATTGCCATACAAAATTCGTCCGCTGATCGAACCGACAAATCTGATAACCTACATCTGTCTTTGTATATATCAATTTATAACAGTACTAATTTTAATCTTCGGTTATGTCGGAACTGACTGTCTATTAATCAGTTTGGCACTCCATCTCAGCGGTGTTTTCTCTGCACTTTCCTCGAAAGTAAAGCACGTTTTGGGCAATCCTGAGAATCGTAAACGTCGAATAAAAAAATTAATTTTGAGACACATACGTCTATTACGGTAATAATAATAAATAATAACAACAACAACAAAAACAATAATAATAATATTATTGATAATGTGCAGGAAATGATGATAATAATAATAATACCAATAATAATGAATAAAATAATTAAGAGAATACATTAATAAAATTTACAAAATAAATATATGTATATATATAAATAAATAAATAAATAAATATATACATATATAATATGTATTTATATATGTATACATATACTATGGAGAGTGTTTCAGGTTAGCTGATTCTTTGGAAAGTGAATTCAACCTAATAATTTTACAGCAATTAATGGGAAATACCCTTCATCTTTGTCTTCTTGGTTACGACTCGCTCGTTGTAAATTTAATATATACATTTCGTTATTGCTTATTTCTAGAAAATATTTTTTAGAAAATATTATATTAAATTATTATTATTTCCAGTGTATAGCGTCAGGAGAAGAAAAAAAGTTAATCGCTTTTGTCATAGTGGCATGTCGTGTTTTATGCACGGTATTGGCTTATTGCTATATCGGAGAGTGTCTTATTAATGAAGTACGTAAATTATCTCAGTTGCACGGAATTAAGTCATTTTATACTAATAATACAATGATATTGTTTCACACTTTCAAATAAAGAAACACACACACACACACACAAACACATAAACATTAATTATTTATTTTTGTAATTCATTTACATTTATTTCTATTTGTTTATAGCTGCTTATTTCTCTCTATTATTTTTTATATTTTAATTTTATATATGTTCACATATTTTTTCTTTGATACATTATTTATTATATTTATTTATTTTTGTTTTCTAATTACATTCTTTTGATATTATTGTTTTAGAACAATTTTTTTATATTTAAAATCAATTTGTATATGTATGTATATATTCGAACACTATCATATTATATTATACATATTAAGTTCATAAAATTTATAAATTATATGTATTGTGTTGCAGAAAATTTGAAATCTCATACGAGAATTTCTGGAATTCGTAACTTCCGGAGCACCCTTGAAAGCAAATGTTTTTCTCCTTTTTTCTCTTTTTATAATTCTTATTGAACTGTCATGGTTTCCAGTTCCAACCACTACCCCTTCCATGACGCAAATAATTGATAATTGTTATTATAGATTAATAAATGTTTAAAAATATATTTTACAGAGTACATCCTTTGGTGAATCATTTTATCACTGCAAATGGTACAACATATCGCAAGAGGAGATTAAATTAATGCACATTTGTATGATGCGATCGTCAAAGCAAATGCAACTGACCGTAGGCAAATTTTTCGTGCTGTCATTGACTACATTCACAGATGTGAGTAGAAATTAAATTTCTTTTCTTTTTTTCGTTTTTCCTGTCCTTTTTTCTCCATAAATATATGTATATATATTTATATGATCTTCTAAATCATCATTAATATAATTTATTCATACGTTTGCGTACGTTTCTAGGTTGTCAAGACATCAATGGCGTATTTATCCGTACTTCGATCGTTTATGTAAAGAGAACAAAAACAATAAATTCCTACAGAGGAAAGGTAAAAACAACAATAGAGAAGTTCAAGTGTTACATTTAAGTTAAAAAAAGAATTAAAATAAAAAGAGCATCTTATCAAAAAAATAAAATTGATTAAATAATCGATGTTACGTTTCTTTATTTCAAACATTTAATTTAAGAAGAAAAAGCTCTCTTTTATTGGTCTAAATGGTAATATTAAAAGTATTTTATTTTTCCTCGTTTACAATCTCGTTATCTCGACTGTGCGTCCGTGCTTGCGATAAATAACGAACTGAAGGTTGTAGCGAAAAAAAAAAGAAATCGAAAGAACAAAGATAAGAAGAAGAAAAAAATGAGGAGGAAAGAAATACAAAAATTATTTTATTATTTAATTTATATTAATTATTATTAAATTATATTATTATAAAAATGTGAATGGCATCGTCGTGAAATCCTTCTGGAGGAAAAAATTTAAATAAAATATGATAAATTTGAACATTATCTAGGGAGATATCGGTCGAAGATCATTTTCTTTTCTGTTTCCTTTTTTGTAATGTAACAAGTCGAAGAAGTATTGAAGACTCAAGAGGATAACATATATCGCTCTTCCTTTTAATCTGTTGCCTTCTTTTTATTTTCAATTTTTTCATGTTTTTTCTTTTTTTGTTTGATTACTTTCACTTCAAACCATTCGAGATCGTGAACCTTTTTCTACTTCACGAGAGATACTTCGCGATCGGTATTGTATGGCCATTGAGAAATAGTTACGTTAAATTTCCAATTTATCCCGTTTATTGCTGGATAAAAATCACATTGGGATATATGGATTTTTACGATATAATAGACGACCTTTATCTCATGTTACAGAATCTTTATGTAAACTTTAGTGGCGTGTGTGTCGTTGTTAAAGTTAATAATTATTCGACTTCATCTGATTATGGTAACTTTGATCATCACTATCAAGATCGAAATTGTCAATGACCGAAGATACTTCAAAAACAACGAGAAATGTTGAATCTATTATCGTTACAATCACACATAGGACACATTGTCGAAAATCGCATCGACAACTTCAATATAACGACGATGTAAACTATTGTCAAATCATTATGCTTTACTACATTCTATGGATATATATATATTTCTTTTTTTCAAATTTATATACGCACAATTATAAAAATATTTAATTTTTTGTATTATAATGTAATTCTTAAATATATATATATATATATATATATATGTATGTATAATATTTAAAAATTATTATATTTTTAATATTAGTGTATTTAAATTTTTTAAAATAAAATTGTCATCATTACTTCCATATATATATACGGAAAAAAAGACAAAAGAAATATCATTCATATAAAGAGAACTGAACTCAAAAATAAAACAAGAAAAATGAATAACTTATCGGATTAATTGAGTTTACATTGAAATTGTAAAATTATTAGATATATTTAAATTTGTGTGCTAATTTCAGTTCTTGCAATTTCAGATTATGCGCTTTCATTCCAGGATATCTTACCGATTCCATCGATTTCTATGTCCATAGATCTTTCAGAATACTCAATTGCTTAAAGTGAACCATCAATGATTATTATTTATTAATTATTATTCCTTCTTAAAAGCAGCATCCGTGTAGAACCTGTATTCATTATACCTGTTTTACATGTGTTACCAATCCTAGTGCTAGTAAATGTGTTACTATACGCAAACATTTGTCCAATAGTTAATGGGTCCAGATCACATGGGCTGATTCATGAAATAATGGCTGAGCTACATTTATCCTCTCACTCTCTCTCTCGCGCGCACTCCCTGTCCGTAGATCTTGTGAGTACATACGTCCTTTAAGAGCCTAAGAATTACTATAAAAAAGTAAACAGATAAAAGAGAAGAGAAATTTCAGAAACGTCTAAACTGATCGCAGAGCTTATCCCGTAACATAACATTATTAAAAAAATAAAGTAGAATAAAAAAACAATTGCGAAATCGTTTAAGTTAATAACATTACTTACAGTAGCATAAATGGGTAATGTCCAGTATTATATAAAAACTTTTGAAAAATTTTCTAATCTTTAATTAAACTTTCGACGTAGCACTATTATTTACAACAACAAAAAATGGAAATGTCTTAAAATCGTCTGTACTGTTCACACTACATATCGTAATATAAATTGGTGATCACGATTGTAAAAAAAAATTAGAAATCCTCCAAGTGGATCGTAAAATTTACCATAGCGATCTACATTTTAAAACAAAACGTAAATGAAAATATAAAATAGTGTAAACTAAACACAAAACTTTCCTTAGCGTGAACCGTCAAATACACTGCTTTACCATATCATTGCACACGCTATACTAATAATAGCATATACTTTTTCCCATAATGCATATGCCTCTTCGAACGATCATTAAATTACTTTTGAAAAACGTTTCTCCGTACGGTAAACGTTCGAAAGAAGACGTTCCATCTATTAAAATAGAAAAATAATGAAACAGACCAAAGTTAGATACAATGTAGGTAAGATAATTGCAATCCAAGGAAACAAAAAAAAAAGGAAAAGAATTGAAGAACGAAACGAAACGATGAAGAACATAAAGAAGTTTCGGAAAGTTTCAAAAATTAAAAGGAAAAAAATCCTAGGTTATTATAAACCTTCACCCACCACCCACGAAACTCTCAAACTCTCATTCGTTCCTGCCTTTTATCCCCACTCTTTACAACTTACATCCCCCTCCAACTAACCAATGCAAAAGCTATACGACCTTTCATTCTCGAATTTATTCTCTAACCTTCGAACATTAGTCGACTCGAATTCGATTGATACGTTGTTGTCACGTACATCCAATCACAATCGTTCATTAACAAAGGAATAAGAAAAGAAAAATTACGACGAATTCGAAAAGGAAGGATTGGTTAAGTTCACAATACTCATTTGATCCACATCGGGGATGTTTCAACAGGAACGGGTGATCACTGATTCGTTGTCCTAACAAAAATTTTTTTTTGTTAATATTTTCATATCATCGTTACGTTATGGGTGTGTATCGTAGGAGGTGTTAGATCAAATGTTAACAAGTGATTTTTTGAAAGAGAAAAAAGAAAAGAACGAATAAATTGTGAAAAACGAATAATAATTGTTCAGCAAAACGTTTAATGATTATCGTGGATAATTTTTTTTTTTCTTATCAAATTATATACAAGAATATGACAGCGAATAATTCATAGAAAATACTTTTCTATCGTATAAAATGTTTTAATGATAAGAGTGAAAAATGTTCGTTTGAAGTGCATTAAAATGCAATTTTTCGATTTTTAAAATCAATCAGTTAGTGTATGGGAGTGAATGTATCTGCACTCGCGTGTATATGTTACTACCATAAAGCTATAAAGAGAAAAAAATTAGAAAATATTCATGAAGCCCTATTACAGAGATAATTGTTGAATCAATAAATCATAGGGTGCACTCATTTAAAGGAAGTTTTCTCGATCGGTGTTCAGAACTGACACAGTTTTTTTTTCTTTTATATGTCGTCCTTACTAGCAATGGTGAATACGTGTTCTAAAATTTATTTTTTTTTTTTTTATCATATCTTTTCCGTTTATCAGTTTTCTTGTTCTTTTTTCAATCAAGTAAGATTACAAAAGGGTACGTGTGGCCGTGCATACTCATGTGCGCTTTTGTTTTTGTCAAATTGATTTTAAATAATAATTTTCTCTTTTAATTAAATTATAAAAAATCTCTAGTTGTTTTTTTGCTAAGTGAATCAACATATGACGTGTTGTTTTTTTCTTCCATCTGTATTTTGAATAATATTTTTACAATATTTTACTATTCGAATGTTATAGTAAAGAAAAAAAATTAATGAATTGTGAAAATTTTTTATAGGGCGAATCGTAATGAATGACAGTTTTTTCTTTATTTTTTTCATTTATATGAAAAAAGACATAAATACCTCATATTGAAAATTTATATTGACGGATATATTAAAATTTTCTTAATTTTTTATTATTATACGGAATAGTAATGAAAACAAAAAAAGGTAAATGAAGAATTTGCAAGAAAAATTGAATTAATCATTAGACTTCAAGGAAGTAAAATAGTTAGTTAATTAGATAATTGAAAATAATAAAAAAAAAAAATGCAAAATCGATGGAAAGATAAATAAAAATGAAATTTTGATTTTGTGGTAATTGACTAATTTAAAAAGACCAAAACGAGACAAAAAATATAGTGCAATAAAAATTCAATTTATCAATAAGTCTCGAAAAAGTTAAACGATTTAATTAACTTAATTAATTGATTAAGAGAAAGTAAAACTAGAAACCTAGAAATAAATAAAAAGAAATAAAGTATGTAAAAAAGAAGAAAAAGTATAAGAGAAATAAGAATATCTTCGTTTTAGGAGCTTGACTTTCACGGTACCAGAAGGGTAATAGATTTGAACAAACGTACGTTAAATTGCGCGGGAATTTGGCCAGAAAGGATTCACGAGCCGGTTTTCATTTTTTTCTCTGTTTATTTGGCTTTACATTGTACAATGGGAGTCGTCTCGATTACCGATAACATGTCGGACATGGAATATATTATTGGTTGCATAGAAGAGAACATGTTCAATTTTATGACGCTATTGAAGATATGCATATGCAGAATGAAAAGCAATTCTTTGGCCGAATTTTTACAGGAGATCAAAGTCGATCTTATTCCAGAAAGATACAAAACCGATGAGGAAAAGATTGCTTTTTTAAATTATAACAATTTTAGTCTAAAGTTCGTTAAGGTCACTATTTTATCATGCATCACGGCCGCTACGCTGTATTATCTGTCCGTTTTAGCTACCAACATTGAAATGGGTAAATTTTTTATAATTAAATCGTTATCATATTTGACTAATGCATTTTGTTTTTCTCTTTTTCATTTATTTATTTTACGTTGTATAATAATTTTTTTTTCTTTCACATTCTACTACTAATTTATTTATTTATTTTTTATCATTTGAATCAGTAATTTTTGTAAAAGTTCATCAACTATTTTCCTTTTCTTTTCATTTATCATCTTCTTTTTCATATTCGTCAATAATTTTAATTGTAACGACTGTCAACTTTTATTGTTTTAATTTTTAATGAATATATTTTTAATATTATAATTTATTTCAATTATATATATTTGTATAATTTTTTATTTCAATTTATTATATTATTTTGAAAATTTTAAATATTTTATTTTAATATATATTGAAATATATTTTTATGTTGGCTTTTCTTGTATCTAATTGTTTTTCTTTTTTTATATCTTCTTCATTAAATATATATTGTCTTTAAAAGAAGATAGTTAGTATAATTATATATAGATTGTTCGAAATAGAAACTTTAATCACTTAAATTAATTAGAATTAGAAATTTTAATTACTTAAAATAATTTTTTAATATTATTTTTATTTCAAATATTTAAAAAAATATTTTATTATATTGTACGTTTTAAAAATATTTTTTATAGAAAAATATTGCATATCCTTATATTTTTCGTTAAGAATAATGTTCATAAGATAAAAAAAGAAATTATAACTAAAATTATTTTTTTTTTGCTAAAAGCAATTACAAATAATATCAAAAGAAATTATAATATTATTATGTCGAGAAAAATCTAAAATTGATTTTACAGATATCATTTCTTATTAGTTAAAATTGAGAAATTAAATTATTTCTATAGTTATCGTTTAATAATAAAAAAAAAAAAAACACGTTTCTAATAAAATAAAATCTTTCCTTTATAATTGTTTTGTTACTTACAGTTGTTGCAAATTCATCTTACGGATACATATTACCATACAGAAGTCGTCCGCTGATCGAACCGACAAATCTGATAATTTACGTTTTTCTTTGTCTATATCAATTTTTAATAGTACTAATTATAATCTTCGGTTACGTCGGAACAGATTGTCTATTAATCAGTTTGGTACTCCACGTCAGCGGTCTT